GGCTTTGGCTCCAAATAAGTCTGAAATGCTCCTTGCTATGTTCAAGTCCGTAAACTTCAAAATCTCTCAGTCATTATCTTCAATCTTACTCTTAATTTTCTATCTTCTGCCGAGAAGTAAATGCAACTATCAGCTTGATTCTGATGCGGCCATTAAATTTCATCAAAAGCACCCTATATTTACTCTAGTAAAACATAATGACTACAAATCTATCTTATCTTAAAAACACTTTATTGTGACTAGCAATGATTAATCAGTGATAACCGTTACTTCTAATTTTTATAATTCCGATTTATTACAGTCGTCAATATTGAGTGTGTGCAGGTTAAATCAAGCACCAAAAAAGTCTAAAAAACTTCCCAATTTTCTTCCAAATAGAAAGTCATCCGTTACTTGGTATTTATTCACTGAAAAGGGATTACAATGTTGATTACTATCAAATGTTGTAGAATTCAAAATTCCACTTTTTTCTGAAAAAACCTGGTAATAAGATTTGTTAAATCAGTAAGATCATCCTATGATACGATGCTGTGGCGGAAATGGAAGGAATTAATTTCTGTAACATAAGTCAGCCCAGTGATAGTCAATTATGTAATTACAAGAATGCAGTATCTCACTACAGACACATCTAGGAGTGCGGACTTTGCGGAGAGATTCCCGTATGACACCATACTATTCTGAAAAAAACCTGAGCATTCCGCAGCAACTTAAAGTTTGCGCCATTGTTTACTTTTATGATAATTGTATGCATAATGAATTGGGGTGACATGGAAATCTTGTCGGCTTTGTCCTCTTGTCGCTAAATTAGATTTGTTCTCCACGAATATTCGAGCGAAATTTATTGAAATCAAGTTCAATTGACTGTAAACACACATAATTGGAAGAATTGTGTACTTTAGCAAATACAAGAGGGAACTGAGATTCCGTAACTGAAATTCTGTGAGGTTCGTCAAGTCACGCCACCATATGAATATTAGAATAGCCAATTAACCACAAATAAATAGATTCACAGAGTTGTCTGCCTTGTCAAGTTTCCACGCAAATTGACATATTGAAGCGCTATTCTCATTCACTTTCAACTCCATATATAGATGTACTTTCATTAGCGCGTCTTGGATTTCCTTGGGAAGGTTGTGCAGGTTTACTGGTTGTAATCGAACATTTTCTGTCGTATTCTCTAGCGTGGGACCCAGTGGGGTCGTTGGATTGATGTGATTTGGTGGTAGTGGTGAAGTTCTGACTTGATCCTGCATTCTTCTTGAAGCGGCGACAAAGATTCCGAAAAAGAGAATGGAATTTACCAACAATAACACGAGGAAGATCTTCGCCTTTTCACAGTTGTAACTAGACAACTTGAGTGGTGTGCATGTAGCGGACATACTTGTTCAGACATCAGGCTTCGTTAGATTAAAGAGCTCGCCTGGAAATGACGTCCATTCCTCCTTAAACATTATTCGATCGTATTTCGTAGTTCTGATCATTATTCACTTGAAGTCCTTCCGCAGTTGGCCATATTCGATTTAATAGCGTGGCTTTGGCCATGACGTCACTGGAAATAGGCAGGGCCTGGAAACGAGGATGAATACTTCATTTGCATTTGGCACTTTGAAGTGTGCCGGATCTATCGGCCACTTGTTCACTCTTACTTCACGCTTCCGCTGGTTTTGGATTCAAGGGTGCATGAATACAGCTGGCTCTGTTTTTCCATCGGTTCCAGCTTTTTTTTTTATACCGATCAGGAAGCAAAGTAAAGGTTTATCCGCAGTGCTCATGCCAAAAGTTGAAAAAAATGTTTGTAATGTTGAATTTAACTGTAGATAACTGCGATCCTTGACAATCTTTGGTATATTTTCACCACTACGGTGTTTGTCGACATAACCAAGCTGCTATTTTGATCATTAACTAATTTTCTAACAATTTTTAATGACTTTCAAAACTCAACATATTTCAAAATAACTCCTTCAAGGAAAAAAAAGGACTTTGCGTTACTCGAATTCGCCAGCAAAGATAAAAGCTCAGTAGAACCGAAACTGCTCGTAAGAGAACCAAACTAAACATTTTCTAAAGAGATTTACTGGCTGGTTTAGCCAGCACTAACAGACTTTTGTATTACTCATTCTTCGGGAAAGGGGACCCGCGCTCCGAATAAGCGTGGAGCGCAAATGGATAACGTTGGGTTTTTTTTTTTTATCAAACCTGATGGAGAGCTGAAGGTTTCCTGCCCCTCCTAGTATCTCCTGGCACAAATGAACCTGGTGTTGGGTACAGGTAGTTAATAAGCAGTTCGAATGAATAAACAGGTTGAAGCAAAACCGTTTGTGTAGCTCGCCGCTGGCTTAACCCATCAAACCCTGAGAGTGACTTGTATCTTATTTCTCACTAAGGAGTCCCTGCTGAATTAAAACATTAAGGTCTTCATTTTTTTAGCTACATTCTTCTTGTCAATGCCATAGGAACTATATAGAGAACAGTATGGAGAATATTCGTGCTAATGTAAGGGTGTGGAGGATCAATGCTTCTAAAATATTAAAATAAACGAAAACGATCCTGCGTAGGCTAAAATTACCCTGTATTAGTTTCCTTTATTCCCATGAAATACATTGCTTAGAGAATTAGCAATTCAGTAAATTGTACAGTTGAGCTGCAGAAATCTGCAACATCTTCTCATAATTTGCTTCCTTACCTATCATTTTGAATTGTATGCAATTACAAAATCTAAAACTAATTAACATACAATTTCATTAAAAGAATTAAATACTTTGCGGCCCATGAAGTATATAAAAATATTTGCTTCGAATTTATTACAGCTATTTAAAAATTTACACAAGACTGTTTTTGTTTAAATCTTTTGTTAGGGTTGTTGTTGTGTTCTGTAAACTGTATTTTTAATTGTACGCAGTTCCTAAGTTCATTCGTTCCCCTTTGCTAGGGTCTTCTATGAAGTGAAGTCACGTAAACGCACAAAACTTGGTTTTTTAAAAAAGATAGACTCCACAAACATCTGTAATAGGTTACAAAAACTACATGGAACCTAAATTCTCTATTTACATACCATGATTAACGAATGACAAATGAGATAGAAAAGGTTGCAAACGGATTTTGAAAAAAAAAAAGAAAACCTTTTCTCTAAGAAGAAACGGGTGGGTTTTATTCTGACCAATTAGGGCGAAGAAAAAGAAGCAAAACACAACCAAAAGGATTCTCACGTGCTGAGCAGTAATATCGTGTTCTTCTGCGTTTGTCCATTGTTCCGCAGAAAATTACGAGTTTGACGATGGTTTATTTCATTTCTTTCTGTGCTTTCTTCTTTTTCAACTTTTTGACGCCTATCAGTCATTTTATTTTATGTCGTGACTAGTCCATACCCTAGAGAAGTGGAATGAGAAATACAATACCCGATACTGATAAGTCAAGAAATAAGCACGGTAACATATGATTGACAACTCCGTGGTAATATATCCATATACTTAAAAGTGATTAACAAAGAAAAAAAAAATGTCGATTAAATGCTAAGCTTTCGTTTTCAGCAAAACACAATTGTTAACCTCTCGCAAACCTATAAATGGAATACATAATGGTCCCTTGGAATACCTTCGGTAAAAAATAACTCTCGCATATTATGAACAAACTGCTCCAAACACTCATTACCTCACTCCTACGTTACTTATCGCTAAAACGTGAAGGAAATATTGATGTTGTCTATAATAGTTCTATATCACTAACTGATCAGTTTTCTTCATATCAAAATTTGCATTGTATGAAAGCAAGTATTTTTACAGAATGTAACGTTTAAAAGTACGCCTTGAATCTCAAGCAGCTTGAATTAAATCTCACCAATGACAGACTTCTCTTGATAATTCTGACAGATTTTCATTGTCAATATTTTGCTCATTCGTTAAAAGGATTTCACAAAATTTGCAATTTTTTCTAAAATCGAATGAAACTTGCTTGTTAATTGGACTTGTGTGAAGTCACTTGAAAGCAGCACTAACATTTAAAAATAATGAAGCACCTCTAGTAAGGGCCGCTGAAATGACCTGCTACATACTCCGTCTTTACCGATATGTATACTTTAAAAACATTTCAAACTTGACTGATCTTCTCAGCACGGTTCAACAGTGTAGTAAATTTTTCGTTAGCTAGTACATGTATCCAATCCGTATTTTGAAAGCGTTAAGAAATTACCTTACGGGGAACAAAACAAAGAAAAAGGAGGGAACGGTCCTTCAATCCCTCCCTCTCTAAATATCACATACTGTAAGTTAACGATCAAATATCTCAAACTCTCTACTCTCTGTTACATAAACTGAAGCATTTGCTCTTGCTTTCTTAACACGGATCCATTTCAGGCTCAATACAGAATCCATAAATGAAAAGATTAGTTATATTCTCTTTAAAAATATATTGAGTCAATTTTGAATAACTTGCATTACTAAAAATGAGATTCCTGGGCAAATGCATTTCCTTTTGTTTGACATTGTTCGATATATCTTTTGGTTTCCTCCTTTGGGCACCCTTTTCAGAAAAATACCTTCTTTCCGCGAGAGAAAACGGGGATGCATCTTTCTTTGTTCCTTTTCATTCGCAAAACACAAGGTGTGGTCCCGCGTAACACCGTCTATCGCTAATTGATGCCCATGATTTTTTCTCTACAAGTTGCCTCGGTTGTCATTCACCCAAAAGGCGGGGACCCACTGTGGTTCCACATCAAGTTTATCGATGGCTTGTTTGAGTTCGTCAAATGTTCTTTCTAAATCCGTATTCACGATTGTTTTATCGAAGTAATGACCGTACATTTCTTCCATTTCTCTCGCTTTCGTCACCATTTCATGTAATTCCGCGTCCTTAGAATGAAAACAAAACAAATACCATGCGAGAACGTTTGCTGAATCAGTTCAATTTGTAAGCTGTGAAATGAGGTTTCCGTTGCTCTTGTAATTTCTCACAACAGTTAACACCGACTAGCTGTATGTCCTTGTTTTAGCCAGTACTGAAAACTTCCTTGAACAAGCTCAAATTGTTCTTTATATTGTCAAACTCGTCGATGGCCTCTTCTATGTGTTTCGTATTTTTAAACAATTGCTATAACTATTTCGGATCAAAGTCAGTATCTGAGCACCTACCCTTCTCTTACCAAACAACAGCTGACTGATAACAAGTAACGGTTAACCTTGACTTTGGGGGAGAGGGGTAGGTGCGCTGTTGTTCAGATACTGATGCCCATGATTTTTTCTCTACAAGTTGCCTCGGCTGTCATTCACCCAAAAGGGTGAATGATCAGTGACTATCACTGATCCACTATTGTAAAGAAACTTTATTTTCTTCTTAAAAAAACGTAATATATTTTTTTGTCAGTTTGATTTCCGCATTATCCTGATAACTGGTAGGAAGGCTCTAACGATAATGACAACAACTGGTACTCACAGTCATTGGTGAATTTGGTTTCGGGTTAAATGGATCCACTCTTCCTCTCCGAAGGGTCAAAATTCTATCATAGGATGGAGGTGAGATGAAAACCACGTATGGTTTCACATCAGAAGCTTTGAGCATCTTAAGTGCCTGCAATGTAAACGCATGTAAGAGGTCAATAAAAATTATGTTTCTACTTTGTGCCATTTTGACATTTAGAGATCCGTCATAACCGAGAGCCAAATATGTTCCCGTCCGGCCCGGTCCGGCCTTAGTCAGTCAATAAGCATTTTTCATATGATCGGCGCTCTAACTCCTTCCTCTTTTCTTCTCATATTTTTTCCATCCTGAATTTCAGGACCACAAGCTGGGCTTACAGCCTTCATGCGGGGATATTGATATTGATTTCCATCAAAAGCGCGCATAGACCGCTCGGGTCATATGATAAAATCACTTTGTTAAGAGCGTTGATTTTGGAACTGCATAGCAAAGCGACTTTTAAAGACTGCAGGTAAGGGTACATAGTAATGTGGGCTGTACTAGAATGAACCCCAAATTCTTCGCACGACATAGAGCCAGTAATGGAACTGTAGAACTACTTAGGACATACCTCACAATGGAGATTTAAAATACAGTATTTGCCGGCGTTGGCCACTCTTCTGATGGAGTCTAAAGCGGTGCCGTAATAGTGACCCTCGAATTCTCCGTATTCAACGAACTTATGGGCCACAATGTCCGCCTCAAACGTGGGAAGCAGCACAAAGTAATAATCCCTTTCGTTCATTTCTTCCGGTCTTTTGGGGCGGCTGGTGTCTAAAGAGGGAAGTATTATGTGTAAAACGAGTTATTTAATACGCAGCAAAGAACTTTTTTTAATTGCAGTACTCTTATTGACGTATTAATTTGTAGTAAATGAAACCGATAAAGGAAAGAAGGAGAGAAATGAGAGAAATGAGAGAGGGTCAACGAGAGACACACTGCAAGTAGAAACAGGAGCCAACAGATAGACAGTCTGACGGATAAACGATTAAAAAAAAAAAAAAAACAGACACAAAGAAGAGCTACGGAGATAGATGGATACACCGACAAAGGGGACAAAACAGACTGAAAGAGAAAAAAGCGGGAACCCCTACACGTACACAGACAGACCCAGACAGACAGACAGACAGACAGACAGACAGACCCTCAGACACAGAGAGACCCAGAGAGACAGTCATTCAAAGAGAGACAGTCTGTCAGTCAGAGAGACAGACAGAAAAGAAAGCAGGCAGGCAATGGATCCATTATCCGGCCGTTTTAGTTTTTGTTGCACCTAACGAATGTTTCTTTGATTGAGTGGTGAGTTTGATGAAACGCGCACACAGAAATACTTACGGGGAACCACTCCTGCAAAACGTTCTTGCGAAAATAGAATCAGCTTTTGTCTTAACTCTTTCCGGCCAACTTTATCAGGTCCTATACAAGAACAAACGGAACAAAAAAAAAAATTTACAGACGCTCAATTTTTAACCTTCAACCAAACAGAAAAATTAAGGATATTGATCTCGGACCAAAAACGCAATGGAAGATTTCTCAGAAATAGACCAAAACCACGCGTCTGCAAGGATTAATTGTAAAGGAGGAGTGTGATTGTTCCTACTAAGTGAGGGCTTATCCCTGATTTCTATAACATGAAGCAACCACGTGTAGGTCTACGTTCCTGGATGGGATGCTAGTCCGTCCAACCCCCCCCCCCCCCATTCTCCTCTCCACACAGCATTTCTCAGCTATCCCTGAAAGTTCATCGTGGAGAGAGGCATTGGGAGAATAACAAAACACAGCGACCTGGCCTACCTATAAGAACCACAGGCCGTTTTCTGTGAGGATCTGGGGGTAAATGTGCCACTTCTTCGTATGTTAACACCTCATCCGCCACATATTCTGAGAAAAAATAGGATTAGAAAAAAACTTAATGTTAAAACTAATAAAATGCAATGGAATATAAACGGCTACATTACGGGAAAACTGTTTCATAATTAGATTGGTGCAGAAGGACATCAAACGTAAAGGCGTCATAGTGAATAACGACGGCAACATAGAATTGGTTGGCGAATTTTTTATACCAACCTTCGTTGTGTTTCGCGTTGTAAGGGACCTTTTTCCTTCGCTTTCGCTTGAAACAGAGGCATCCACTCTCTGAAGACAGAAAAAAAAACAACAATCTGATCGTTATTCAGTACATGGTTTGACCTTGGGAGTAACAAATTATCATGAAGCGTGGTCTAAGGGCGATCCGACCATGGCTGTCGTTAGCGAAAGTGACCGACCACTACTGCGTTAGGGACAGCTCTAAAATACAAAATTGAAAATCCTTACTTTCTTTGTTGGACGGCTCTGCTTCTCGGGTTGATTTCTTCATCGATTCTTTCCTGTTGAGAAAAGGGAAAGAAAGAAAAAAAAAATGATTGACCGATACAATATTTTTTCAGATGGTCCTACCACTTAGGATATTGTAGCTGTAAAAGGAAGCTGCTACGAGCTCTCTATTTAACTTACTGTTGTTGAAAATGCTTGGATGGAATGAGTCCAGCTAATTGTCGGCCTTCCTCGCCAGGTCTCCAAGCCTACAACCGAAAAACACAAAAACGAATGTGTTATTTACAAACTCGGTATCAGAGTGGTTCATGATTTTGGGCTGTGAGCGACAGAATGGGACATCGTTCACCACTGACCTGCCACCAGTTAGGATCCTCTTGATTAACAACATGCAGAATGTCTCCTCTTCTAAAAGCTAGTCCCAGTTCCTTGCATGGTATCAACTCGTCTTCGTAAGGATGGTAGTCGAAGTTCGCGCGCACGTGAACTTCTCTGTCACGCGGAACGCGGGATCGATTGGCCGGATTTAAAACAAATGTTAACGTCCCGTTCATGTCCGCCAGCAGTTCACAAACCTCTGTTACGGTTTTCCCTCTCATGTTTACTCCATTTATTTCAAGGACTTCATCGCCCTCTTGAAGAAGACCTAAGAATTAAACAGCCGGTTAAAAAAGAAAAAGAAAAGAGAAGACGTACCGCAGCTCTTAGCTGCCCTTCCTCTTAGCGACGAGGGACTCCTTGGAAAGCTAGGCAATTTACTAGTTTCACATGTATGTAACTCCTGGTATAGTTGTTTTTGCTGTCTTAGGAGTATACTTATTAAAGATAAAGATTAAAGATAAAGTAACAAATGTTTTGCATACTGTTAGAGTCAACAAGGCCACAGGCTTTTAGTATAAAGGGAGAGAGAGAGTATAATATATCAAACAGGATTCTTACCACACTTGTCAGCTGCACCTCCTTTCACAATCCTTCCAATCATGACAGTGCCCTTTTCATTCTTGACAGTAGCTCCGAGTGGTTCAGTTGCTTTGTCTATTCTTACAATCTTCACATTGTCGTCTTCCACAAGAGGGAATTCATCCGTAGGTTGTTGTGGTTCTTGCCTGTCTTGGGATTCGGGTGCATCCACTTCCTGTTCGTCTTCATCGCTTGGCAAAGCTTCTCTGAAAGCGAGTCTATCATGCGCCATCAAAAGACCCTGAAATGGCGCAATTTTTAGATGAGTGTCAAAAGTAATCCGGAGACACATTGCTTTTGTTTTCTAAGCTCTACGAATGGTATAGAAACTTGTACCATTCTCTCGTCCGATTAGAAGCAAAAAAAGTAAAACCAATCGGGATTCAGTCGTAGTTTGGTTGTTTTTCATGAGGGTTGTTGGTCGTTGAGGAAAATCTAGACTTGGTTTTACGACACTACATTGAAATGCAATTAATCGCAGAATTTACTTTGCACGGCACAAAGTGACATAAATCATACAATGTGAAGTATGGAAGGTCCAGGAAAACGTTGAATTTTCCTCAAAAGAACATGGATTGTATTTCATTTTCAATCAATGCGACAAATGGAAAGTTCAAAATTTGATCATGGGCTAGGATTCAAAGTCAGCGGATGAAAATACCTCAAAACTTAATTGTTCACTAAAAAAAAAAATCAACTTACCTGAAAGTTTGCCATTTCTAAGATTTGCACCAATTCTTCTGCCTCTCTTGAGTGCCTTGCTGCCTCGAGGGAATGTTTCAACTAAAATATTCAACAGAATGCGTACCTTCAAAAATATTGTTTTGTTTTTACCTTACGAACTTATATAAATATTTGGATCCCTAAAGGAAACAAACAAACAAACAACGAAACAATACAAAAACACGAAGACCTTCTTTGACAAAAGTTTACACACAGGTGAACAGGTCGTAAAGAGTAATACTAACCCCAAAGTAATGTTTTGATTGACCTTCAAACTCTCATAGATAGCTTTAAAATAAATAACTGTAAGGAAGTATTGGGAAGTAACGATTAAATCACCTGGGAAGAGAGATGTTGTGAATTTGTAGCAACAGGTTTGACTGCGCTCGGTCCTCGTCCCGATCTTTCGAGTTCAATCATTTTAGTGTAAACCTAAAACCAGGAGGAAAAAAATTTCAGAATTAAGCAACAGAAATTTGTTAAATCCCTCATTAATTACTCTTCTTGTTCACATTTTAAACTATATTTATCAAAACCTTACTCACTTTTGTAGCATCTTGAAAATCCTTCTGCTCAAAGAGGTTTTCCACAAATGAAATTTCTTCTCTGTTGTTACCACTTTGTAGCTTTGATTTAAGTTCACCGATGCCTGGGAACAACAGTTCTTTCTCTGCTTCTCCTGAAAAACAAAACAACAACAGTTATTCTAAAGTACAAAACAGATTTTGCTAATAACATGGATTTATCAAATCCTTTTACTAACATGGATTTATCAAATCCATGTTAGTAAAGAGAATTATTTTGCAAATTAAATTGGCAAAAATATTTTTACATAACCATTGATTGTTCATTATCTAAGAACTAAGGATTACAACACAGTAGAAAAGCAAGGTGGCTTTCTTCACTGATCACTAAATGCTTATTGGAAACATTTATAAACAAATACATGTTAGTGCTACTTCTCTGCACCATATCAAAACATTATTCAAAAAAGGACAATGAGAAACAAAAACATGTCAGCTAGAGGGGGCTACACTGACTTTCCTACAGATCTTAGTGAAACCAACTTGGTCCAATTGCTCTTAAACATCATAACATACAAGTGACACTGCTTTCAGGTTGCCAAGCAAAAAAAAAGAGCCAGTGGAGGTGATAGCCAAGAGTAACTCTTACACTAACTTCTTCGCTTAACAAACCCCCTGAGCATCCATAACTCAATAGTGTATGTTGTGATGTTTACCATTTATTTTATAACATAACATTGATACAATGTAGCAGAAGAGTTCCCTTTTCTTGAATCAAAAACGTTTGTGTAGTCTCACATAACCAGACAAAATATTGGCACAAAAAATAGTCACTGCCCAACCAGCAGGGGGACTTTACTGGTCAAGACAATCAAAGATAAATGGAATGATGTTTCCTGAAATTCCACACAGCAATGTACTCCTGTGAGCAAATAGAAGACACTGAATTGCCCAATCAGAGCATGCACTTTAAGTTGATTATTTTATAGAGGATAAGGTCCTACCTGGGTGATCTTTTTCATTGTCGCTATCATAAGCTTCATTCTGCAGAGCCCAAGTATTATCATCATCATCCACATCAACATCAGCCTCTATTGCATCTAGCTTCGTCAAATCGAAGAGTGGCGTTGAGAGGGACTTGTGTTTTTGTAAGTTTGATTGAGCTAAGTTTTTTCCTGATATTCCAAAATTTTTGTTGCCAATGTCTTTATTCCAGCCAGGGCCAGTTGGTGACACAACACCAATGTCTCCATTTCCATAAAATTCCTGACTGTTGTGTGATCCTTCTGATTCAGCATCAGAGTTGTAATACTGGAATCGTGGATCACTCTCATGTTCTCTCATGATTTGTTGAAGTTTGTCCCTTGTGTTTGTATCCACTTGCCCATTGTAATCCCCATTTATTCCATCATAAACATCTGTACCATTGTTTAGCCCTACAAAAAAGTCATTACTTTCTAAGTCCATCTAGATTAAGATCTTTGACCTGGTTTCCCTCACTCTGACGATTATGACAATGAGAAAATTCAGCAATGTGCAATGGGTATATTATATCAATCTAGGAGAGTCGGTGAGGTCAAAAGTATTTAAAAATATACTTTTATGCATTACTATTGTTTTCAATTGGTTGGCTTTCATCTGTAATGCTAGTATCCCTATTTGTTAGCTAAGGGAGCTTGCTGATGGACGCCTACAGTCAAAATGCTAATCAGTAACAAGTTATGTGTCATAGACACTCAAGTAAAACATTTCTTTCCGAAAATACGCTAAATCCATAAGTTTTTCCTACAAATCAGTTAACAACAGTATCATATGACCCTCCTCAAAACATTCATTTACTGACCTTGTAAAGATCTTTGTCCTCTCCTTACTTTCAGTGCAATTACTCTATTTCTAAGGCACTAAATATAATATTAAAAAAAGATCCAATTGAATGATGAATGAAACAAACTTTATAAATACCTAATTTCCAAAAGAAAACAGAAAACTGACAAAAGAGGCTTTATCCAAAAAGTGTACTTAGCTGATAACATTTTTACCTATTGACATTTTATCACAAATTCTATATCAAATCTATTGAAGTATCAAAATAAATTATTTTAAAATTTTGTATAAATTTGGGACGTACTTTGTGAATACTTAAGATAACTTCTGAGTGGGTAAGGTTGGTAACAGGCTCTCCATTCACCTCCAGGATTTCATCATCAACAAGAAGACCAGTTTTTGCAGCAGGAGAATCTATTACAAACATTAATGGCATTAGGTCTAGCAAAGTTCATGATAACACAGAGCAGTTCATTCTTCACTAATCAGCAAGTTAAAAACTTATACCAAGGACAATAAAAAAAAAATTGAAATGACAAGCACAATTGTTATACCCCATTATAACATCAGTTTACCTTTAGAGATTTCATCAATTCTTGGTTGAAACCCCTCATCTATTCCACCCATAACTGAGAATCCAAACCGTTTTTCATCACCAAGTATCCTGACATTAACAGCAAACTCCATGGCATCATCTCCCTGGGCAGATCAAAGTGTGGGTACAAAATGTGAGCCTTTGATTATAATTGTACTTGACAATTGTGTGTGTTGATCAATTCCAGCCCCTTATATTCTGGATGCAAGTTCCACTCTCTGACCATCATAAACATGTTCTTATATCTGTTCCACTACTTATAATTTACTTTCATAGTACCTCTCTCAACTTTAAGAGTATAGATGGGTACATGAAAACTCTCAGGAAAACACTACAAATGCTAAGTGGGAACCCTGCTTTATACTAGCATCTGGTAGCACTTTTAGTCATAAGTTCTACAAGGATGGGTCTTCGGGCTTGTAATCTAAGTTCACCTTATTATTCCAGGATGAATAGAAAAGAAACTAGCTTCATATACAGTCCCCTTTCTACATCACATCAACCCTTTCCAGCCTTACATCAGTGTGCATATTCTCCATACTGTTCTCTATACATTTACTGAGGTGCTGATAATGAGAATTCATTTAACAGTTAGGAGCTTCATTAGTTGTTGATCATTTCCTTTATTCTCCTGACCTAAATGTGTGATTCAGGGGTGATATTGTAAAGAGAATTTAGATGCTAGTTACTCCAATGGGTTACAGGGTTTACAACACGTAACTCTCAACATGACCAGCTGGTGGGTTCATACATACATACATACATACATTTCATTGTGTTTTGGGATAAAAGTACAGTAACATGCCCGTGGGTAGCTAAGCTAACCTAGGCGGGTAGTGTTTACAGGAAATAGATACAACTAAATACAGCTAAAAGTAACAAGAGAACTAAAAAAGCGAGAATTGACAACAATAATTAGAGACTACTGATAAACTAATGATATTACTTATTATAATAAATGACAACAGTCTTGACGGGAGATTACTGATACATTAAACGATATAATTGAATGCATATCAACTGATCAATAAAGAGGAAGATAAATTCAACTTAACTTTTTGAACAATAAAATGTATGTATGCAAACACAATAAAATGTATGTATGTAAACACAATAAAATGTATGTATGTAAACACAATAAAATGTACGTATGTTNAAACACAATAAAATGTATGTATGTAAACACAATAAAATGTATGTATGTAAACACAATAAAATGTATGTATGTAAACACAATAAAATGTATGTATGTAAACACAATAAAATGTATGTATGTAAACACAATAAAATGTATGTATGTAACAACTGACGAGGTGACAATATTTTGATGGCAACGTTCAACCCTGCCTAGTAGCAGTCTTCACTAATTAGAGACCTCAGGCGACACCATGCAATAATGTTTTAGTTACACTTACATTGGCCATTGTAGTATTGTTATTAGCGTAACCATTAGTAAGGTGCATTGGTATTGAGTTTCCTTGTCTTAATCCTCCATTCATGTGAAGTCTGTCTTCCATTCTTCTGTGGGAATAATCGTTAGCAGGGACCCTGGTAGTGGGCTGTTCAAAGGAAGAAAATAACTTTTTTAGCAAAAACAAAACAGAAAATTAAAAAAATAAAAAAAAGCAAACAAAACCTTAGCCAACAAAACAAATGCAAGTCAGGTTGATCACAACACATAATTGACAATGAGACTTTCCAATTTCATCAATTTGGTCACCCCGTCCACATGATTAATTTTATTTTATGTACTTACTAAACACAAATAACAGATTACATGCAGAGAGTAACCAAGTTTTAAACTGTGTTTTAATGCACCAACAGAAGCTTCCAAAACAAACAAAATTGGGCTATCTTTGACAACAACCACAAACTTAACCTAGATTTGGAAGAGAGAATACTTTGTTCAGCTGTTAAAATTCATATTTCAACTGTAGACACAAAACTTTACAGAAGATAGCACCAGAAAATCAATATCACCCTACACTTGCAGCATTCAATTCACCTTTAAATATGGTCTTGTTAAAAATAAATTGAAATGTGTCACAATTATCTTTCACTGTTGTACATGAACAGTAATGTAAACAAACATGTGCTTGTATGGTACAACACAAAAGTCTGAAATTTGTTTACACATTGAAAGTTATGTTGTGGAGCATATTGTAAAATATTAGTCATGCAGAGAGAATTATGATTGTGAATATTGACTCATGTTTAAACAACAGTACTGAGTGTGTGGTAGAGGTTGTCTGTACAAAAGTCAGTCTTGAACGAGTGAGAACAGATGCATAATATGATTTTAATTTTCTGCTCTGTCAGGCAAACATTTCTTAATGAAAGCATTCTTTAATCAAATACAACTGAAACCAAAAAGTCATTGATAATAAATGCAAGCAGAGAGCTCTTAAAGGGCTGAGTATTCTAACATGGGAAAGAATGTGAGATAAAGAAAAGTAGTTGCAGCCAACATCAAAATGGACAAGCTATCAAATGGCACTTGCATACTGTAAATACTTGGGTACAAAAATTCTACAATGTTAGTTTAACTCAATTGTCCTTTGTTATACAAAATGTGAGTAAACACTGATCAAGCATTCCAAAAGATCTTGGACAAAGAATGCAACAATTCTTACAATAAATTAACGTACTAAACAACTCAATAGATTCACTGCCAAACTGATTGGGAAATTACTTTCACGTTCTAAGCTCCAATATGACAGGATTCATTCAAATGAACCCTCAGGTACAAGGGGTTCCCAACTAAAATAATTAGTAAAAGTTGACAAAAATCACAAACAACTGATTGACAGAAATTTACTTTACAAATGTCCCAGCATTTCAGTCACCAATAAACCCTACTGTGGATAACCAAAAATAGCGTCTTCTAAGCACACTATCACGGCATCTGTCTGATTTTGATATTATCAAAAGTAGCAATGCATGATGGAATTTACAAATGTAAATGAATAAAACACATTTTGTTTTGATGTGGTAAACTTGTTGGTCGATTAAAATTCAAGGAATAAACCAAGACCTAAACATAATAGACACCAATTTAAAAAAAAAAAAAACATTCAATAACAAAGTACTGAGGAATGGTACTGTCATTTCATTGCAATTGCCTTACCTGTACCATATCTCATTCAATAACCCCTCTAACGTCATTAACATCTTTATAACAGTCCAGCCTTAAAAAGCTTGTTAAAAATTCATTCGTTTTTATTGGTTTATAGAGTTACGTACCTTAACTGTTATAGTACCATCACTTTCCCTTTGAAAATTGCTAACATCAAGTTTGGGTCCTCTGTAGTAAGACATGCTTTGAATAGTACACCCAAGCCAGTATAAAGTGCTCACAACCTGACGAGGAATATTATTTTTTTTGTTATTTCTTAGAGGAAATAAACACAGGAAAACCAGGCTAGAGGTCAAATCATAGCTAAGAAAAGCTAAAATAAAAATAGAGACAATTAAATGTGCTTCGTTAGAAACACCAAAATAGATGATGAATAGCCATAAGTTTATTTATCCTTGTTAAATTCTAGATTATATTCAACTTGTAGGTAAATGATATTTGAGGCAGCTGAGTTACCAAGATCCCCAATCCAAAATGGATAAGACAGAAGTGGCTCACTGGGAGGAATATATTTCTAATATGATCTTGAAAAAATTTTTCCTGACTGTTGATTGTCTTTGTCAACTCCCCAGTCCTAAACTTACCCAGCAAACCTCTACTATTAATATGTTTATACAGTGGATATAATACTAGTGGGTAATGAAATAAATAATTGTATCCAGCTTGAAGAAAAAGACCTTATAAACACAGGATGATTTTTCCTTTACCTTTTCAATGACTTCATCCTCTGATTTGCATTTGCTAAACCAAACAAATCAAAATAAATCAAATTAATACAAAAATCCTGGATCTTTAAATAGATAGCCTTCCATGGTTAAGTGTCATGCTTAGCTGCACAAACTGAATCCAAAGCAGTTGCTGTCTGTAATTTAGATTCGCTATAATTAAGTCTTGCATTTAATGTGTTATTAGCTGAAAGCAATTCATTGAATTGTCAAAGATAATTACATCACATTATCTCCTGCTTCTAAATCCTGAGAATCAAAGAGTTGCCACGCACTCAGACCAAGATCAGAACAAACACTCAAGAACTTTTTAAGGTTTATCTGCAAAAAATGTCAAAAATAAATCATACATCAATTAGTTAACTATATAATTTACTCATTTTTATTGTCTACAAGGCTCAAAATGATATATCACAAATGTTAATCAAACATGGATTATTTCACTAAATTTGGATGGTGATTTATCAGATAGTATGAAACAAGTTGGGCTGCATTTATCAGGTTCACCAAATCAAATCTGTCTAAATCTTCTTCACACCTCTCGTGAGCTCCCTTGTTTTTTTTTTTAGGCTTCTTCTATGATTGTGTGAGATTTTTTTCTGGACATTCTATCATGGGTCACCAGGAAATGGGGTGACAGCTAAGACTGTTTTGACAGAGTCCTGTACATTTCCTAGCCATTGAATCAACCCTTAACAGTTATCAAATCTAATAACATTCTGTACTAAACCTTAATCTGCTTAATTTAATATCATCAGTTCCATTTTTATTTTCACCTTTAGAGTCTCAGACAGCTTTCAGACTATGACTAAGCCTTAACTCAAATATTATTGTTAGCTAATCCCAAGAAAGAAACCCCACTAGACGATGTGTTTATAATAGGAGTTATCACTTCACCCTTGAAATACACAAACCGACAATAACAGACATCAATCAAGTTAAATCAGTCTCAATAAATAGCAAAAATCCAAGGTAATAGGTTTCACTGAAATCACCATGATTTAAAAGAGCTAACACAGGTATGAGATTATTATTTAGTACTGATAATTTGGTAAATAAACCCTACTATAAAAGCAAATAAATATATTTCACACTTTCTTTAATTTAATTAGATCATGAAAGGAAGGCTATATCAGACACAAAGGATTAATTGTCAACTGGCATTTGGCCCTTTAAACATTTCTCTCAATTTTCCTGTGTTTTCAAACATGGTGAGTAACACAATCATTTCCAAGCCACCTGTGCACTGAGTGCACTTTTTCTTGGACCCTCTCTAAACTTAGTTGGAAATGTGGCTAATTGTTTTGGCTCAAGTGCAGCTGTTAAAAACCACCTATTCACTGTTCAGAATAATACTTAATTGGAAAAAATCTACTACCATAGAAAGACTTCTAACATACAGTCAAAACGCTCTGCTTCAAATGAAGAATGACAGAATTGTCAGTTAAATGATAATAGTTAAAATGAGTGGTTGACTTAACCATTGAAAGTAAATGTTAATATAGGTTTCTAAATCTTGCAGCATCATTACACACTATGGCTTTTTATTGAGATGCAGTCAAATCGTAAATAATATTCAGAGCTGTTTAGACATGTCATGACATAATTATAAAAAAAGTTTCATCAGTACTAATTGCTTTAAACATTCATTTAAAAACAGGACAAAACAAAATAAAATTGGCTACATGAAAATGTAACCACCTCCCGGTTAGCTCAATTGGTTAGAGCGCTGGACTGTTGTGCCCGAGGTCAAGGGTTCGAATCCCAGCCGGACCAACACTCGTGGTCTTAAAATAACTGAGGAGAATGTGCTACCTTTCTATATTATCAAGAAATGGATAGACATTCTACTGTTCTCGGATAAGGACGAATAAACTGTAGGTCCCGTCTCCTGCATATATTGATTAGATAATTTGATTAGGCATGGGGACGTTAAAGAACCCACATCAAGAGATTACTGGGATGTGGTCTGGCCTGTTTACTGGGAATTGGGTGGAGGGGGCATCTGTTAAAATTCGCCTTTATTGTTTGTAAACTGCCACTGGCAGTCTGGTAAAGTCCCCCGCACAGTGTTGTAAAGCACCTTGAACATAGGATAAGAGTGCTATAGAAATAAAAGTTATTATTATTATATTATTTTTATTATTATTATTTATAATTACAACAATTGATCAGTGTGCAGGGCTTTCTTTTCCATGTGAAATTGAAGACTTGGGAGGTCCAGGGGCATGCCCCCGGGAAATTTTGAAAATTTCAGTGCTCTGAGATGGAATCTGGTGCAAGCTTGTAATGATGTCATGTACCAGTCCATGCATGAAAACTCCTCTTTGTTTTTTGCTGTATTTCTCTCGAGTTTTTGGGAGGAAATATGTACTTTTCATCGATTTTTGTTTATTTTCATCGATTTTCGTTTCTTGTACATTATAGACTGACAAACTACATTATTTGAAATATTTGAAATATTTGAAATTATACATCAGCAGTGATTCTTTTAGTTGCCTGTGATGAAGCTATTCACAGGCAGTGAAAATCACAGGTCGTCGGTCAAAAACTCTACGTGAGTGTAAGTTTTTAAGTCTTATCTTATCAATTGTCTTGCATAAAAACATTCTCACATTTTACTTTAACAAGTTGTGTATCAATTGGGTATTGTCCAAGCTTGAAAGTTTCAGCAATAATTTTATCAATACTAATGCTGTACTAAGGCTTTTACTTCATTACATCACTTCACTAAACTGGCTGATAATGAGATGTTCAAAACCTTCAAACACACATCTAAAATATTTGAAATGCAGACAAAGAAACTCCTAATGTCATTAAGACTGTGCTTATGTTAGAAATACAAGCAGCAAATGATAGGAGCTAGTAAAACTAACTTAAAAATATGTTCCCAAATTTACACAGCAAAAAGTATCACAAAACTTGTGTTTTAAGAATTTCTGACCAAATTGGATATCTGGTGTCATAGATTTATACTTTACACTTATCCTTGAGAAAAATTAAGTACAATCTTTGTCACCAAAATTAAATTATTTAACACGTTCAAATTTGCTATCATTCCTTTATTTGGCTCAATATTGTCGCAAGAACAAAATTCGTGATGTAATTAGCCTGAAATAGCCATGTAATAAAGATCCACCGTTCGACAATATTAAATTATAAAAAGTGAGGGCAAAACATTGTATCATGACACTACTTAACCATTAGAAATTGAAAATTTCTAAAGTAAAAATTCTCAGGTATGAAATGTTTATCTGATGGCACGATAAAGCATCTCCAACGATAGTGTGAGAAATATGCACTTAGCTGACCAAAAGCTGGCAAAAACAACTTATTTTAGGATTTAGGCGATTGGATTTAACGCCGGTCACGAAATTTGGCAATTACTCATTTACACATACTATACCGTACATGAAATTCGAAAATAAGCATAGAAAGTACAGAAACTTGTCGATTTCTAGGGCAATTGCTCGTGACAATCATAGTTTTTATGTTCTATAATATTGCACCTATGAGCCACTCCAAATATCGTTGTTCAATAAAACATTGATTAATTGAATGAATTCACCGTTGAGACACAGGATTCTGTCAACAAATGCAAATTATCACGGCTACGAATGGCGTATCAAAGACGTTGTGTGATTTTCACAAAAGCGAAGAATTACACAATAGGAACGGATTCTTCTCCAAATATTAAAGACCGAGTCTTTTAAATATAAGCCATCTTGACAATACTATTTCAGATTCACTTGAAATTAACTACATTTCGAAACGATCCCGTTTCCTGTTGGCGTTTTTAGATGATGACTAACTAAACGTATCCACAACAATGGCGGCGATGATATGAACTTGTTTCCGGTCGAAACAACCAAATTTTCGCACCAGTTTGAGTTGTTGGTGACCTTTGCAACAACTAAAGATTTCGCAAAGAAGTTGAGGACGAAAGATGGAAATTTATTCCATTATCCAGTTAAACGTACGGTCCATATCTCCCTTCCTCCATATTGCTAGGCAAACCGATTGTCACGAATGTTTTCATATACTTTTATACAAAATTTGAGGGATGGCTTGGAGAAACGAGTAAAAACTTCAAATTTTCGATTAGCCTCGTACCTTCCCATTGTAAACATTAATTAGGAATAAACCGTTTTCCTTAGCATAAAATCAAAGAACCACAAAGTAGTAAACTAAAAAGAATTGTATTCGATCGGTTACTAGTCGTATCCTCTACGACATGAGAGGAACGTCGACCGTTCGAAGTGCATTTCACCAACAGAACAACAACGATTTAGACAGAAGTTTCTAATAATACCTGAGATTCCTGAGAGGTTGGATTTTCGATCACATCTTGAATTATCGGCGAATCTGGTTGTATTCGCTTCACAAGGCTGCAGATCGAGAACAAATATAGGATGAGCTCAATGGTATGCAGTGGGAAGCTAATCCTAGGCCTCAAACCAACACGTCCTTATAAAACTTACTAAACTTACTAGCACAATAGAACGCCGTCTTGTAGAGATTCGATGAATCGTGACGAATGAAACTGACGTCCTGTAGCCTCCTAGATACAATTAAAGACACCAAAGTCAATCGTACCGGTTGTTAACGTCCACTACCGCCTGTCCATAGAGAGGCACGCAAAAGCTTCACAGGGGTTGTTGTAAAATGACACTAAATGTCTGTAGACCCTACCTCAATCCATCGTTGAGTGATCTGTTGAGCCGTATCCGATTTCAACGAGGAATCGAAACCCTCCAGTTCGTTGACAACTCCGCCATCAGGGTTTGTAACATAAGCGTTTTTATGAACCATGTCGAAGGACGATACGGGTCACATACTCCCGTAATAAAAAGGCCCTTTCTTTCTCCGAAAAGCTTGAGCTTTGAGCTTTAAGGGAATTTGAACGACTGCCGATTGTTGCACATACCCTCACTACTTTGTTATTACTGCTGTTATAGATGAAGCTGTGACATACATCGAATACTTAACATTCACTTCGCATCAGTAGCCGACTATGGCAGCCATTGAGGAATTTACAACGCGCACGATGATTGGTTAACAGACGATACCAAAATGTATAAACTGTTTACATAAGGACTTGCATAATTTTGGCGCAAAGTTGACTTACGATCACTTGACGAATCTGCTATCACTTCAAATGGGATCCTTTGTCAGACGTTATTTTGATAACTAATCATTCCACCAAACAGGGATATTTTAAGCTTTCTATTTCATCATGTCTTAAAATTTTTCCACTCTTCAATACAGCTTTCCCTATGAACCTCTTTTAGCGATCAAGTACACTTTTGCTCTTGTTAAAAATATTTTACATCCCCTTTGACCTAAAAAGCGAGACATTAGAAAGCATTAGCCGGTGTTTTGTTGTTGTTGATGGTTTTTAATCTATTCAGTTTTTCAAACAAAACTTGTTTATTATAAAATCAGCGGGTGAGTCTAAATCAATAGGGATCCATCTTAAACCGACTAAAAAAAAAAAAAAAAGCCGAAAACCACATTTCTATATCTAGTGTTGTCATACACCGTAACTTAATCATTATTATTTTTAATTATAATAATTTTGACAGGAATCCAATATGTTTCATCGGTGATAAAACTCAGCACTGACACAAGACACGGAAGAATATCGATCAGAAAAAAAAAACACCTTATGAACCACCAAAATAAGATCAAAGAGGTCCTAAAAAAGAATATTTACATCAAATCTCTGTTATTTTTTGTGTTACTGCAGTTAATAAAAGGATATAAGCCTGGAACCTATTTTTCTCACGAGGATCTTTATCGAAAGGAGTTGAAATACCGTAATGTCTTCCAACGGGCTCTTTGTAATAAACGCCCACCCTATTTTGACCAGACAAACTGACTTCAACGATCAACACAGGCCCGGGGCGTTTACCTTTATATTTGACTTATTGACGGTGGAACCTTTCTGGTATCACTAGACTGTTCTTTTTTCTCTTTTATTCAAAATGAAGTGCCCTTCACAATATGGCACGTGAGTACTTGTTAATGGTTAAGATAGATTGAAGGTGTCATGAGCGAGATTAGGAGACTGAACCAGCATACCCCTTGAGTATTACGCCTTTCACGTGATCTCACTACCTTTGGTACAGTATTGAAATATAAAAGCCCGCATATTGGAAACCTTCGAGTTTAAGAAACAGTATGATAAGTCTTTTTATCTTATAAATGTCTTCAAAGAAATCAGGCTGGGAACAGGTTAACAAGGTTTAGATTACAGGATAAACCGATGTTTCCTCTGCACATTAAAACTCAGTTTAACCCAGGACCACTCGGCCTTCAGTCTGAGATTTGTGCAAATGCATGAACACTTACGCCTAAAGAAAGTGAACCGAAGAGGTCCTTGATCGGAAACTTACTCAATATCATTAAACACAGGCTCACTGACTTGCGTACAGTTTAGAAACATCCTTTAATTAGGAGAACGAAACAATTATATAGCCAGGGAACAAAAGCAGTTCCAATTCAGACCAAATTAGATTCACTCGTTGATTCTCTTTACTCACTTGAAGCATAGGGCTACTATTCTAGGATTATTACTTCACCAAGTTAATAACTCGTTAAACTTGATTTCAAATCACGTCAATTTCCCAAGACTTCTATGAAAAGTCGTTTCGACCATTTGAAACAACCATGGAAGGAACTGAAAGAATGACCGGCTACACGACCTCCATTCTCGCTGTGTTACTGTTCCATAGTTCTGTACTACTGTAAAACTCATACATACATACATACATACATACATACATACATACATACATACATACATTCATTCATACACACATATTTTATTTACTGATGCAGGTTAAAAATATGGCAGCAAAAGCTGATGTGGACCTGCTATGTATAAATAAATATTGACAAAATGTATCAACTAGATGATTTAAATTCACATTAATTTAGACAAAGAAACTTACAAATTTCAATAACAAATAAAAATATAAAAATAGCATCTAAAAATACATAAAATCATCAGAGTTCTTAAATGTAATGGTAGAACTACAACCAAAAGATATTTTATCAATATATTTAGAGTGCTTTACAAGATTTGCTTTAAACGATGCAAAGGAAGGAAGAGACTAGGCATGCACATGATAATCTCCGGAAATAAAATTAACTCAATGCGTCTCGGCTGTTTTGCAAATTTTATTTTTGAATCAAGTAAAAGAGAAACCAGAAACCTCACGTCGAGGGTCCCCAGGCGGGGTTCACATGGTGAGGCGGAAACTTGGTTGGTTGAGGGGGAACGAGAGGTTTTTTCAGGTACCAAAGAACTTTGAAATACAGTTTAATATTCATTTAATTGATTTAATTTGGGTGAAGTACCGTCAAAGAACCGGAATAAGTGAGCTGCTTCTACCGTTAACTCGGGCAAACGAAAGCCATCACGTATCGCATCCCAGTCTAATTGGCTGTTTATATATTTTTTTCAAATCACTGTAACGTTTTTTGATTATCTTAAAATAAAATACAACTTAGTCGGCTTTTAAATCTCCTCAGCTGCAAAATTTTGTAGATAATTTCCTATTCAATATAGAGCTAAATACGTCTAACTACCTTTCGTTTTCGGTTGAAGTTTTGTCCGAATATTCCCACCTCTATATTTCTCGGATCAATGATAACATATTTTTTAAGAAACGTCCAATGTTCACAAATTTCCTTTGTAAATTCTTAGCTCTGATAAAGGCTGAGATATAGCGATGTTGAACTCACTTCGCAAATAGACGGATATCAGAACCAAAGGCGTCACTCATTTTACATAGCCAGTAATTCAAAAGTGGGCGTTACCCCGTACCGGAAAAGCGGCTTTGAATGAACACTAAACTTCCGGTATACATCAGTCTCCCATTTGAACACTGTGACTTATTGCCGAACATTTCAGTTAAGATTGCGAAGATCTCATACAATTATTTAGAGAAGGAACCTCCTCCAGGAGAGTTTTTATTTGACCAATGATTTGTAGTAAATTGTAGTGGCGTTGCATTCCGCGGGAGTGTTTTTTTTTTCCTGCAGGGCCTTTAGACTTCCTATCTGGTGGTTTTGTGAAGCGAACGAGCCGCGAACACTAGTTACCAATTTGCGTTCAGTTTGGGATGAAAAATATCAAGATATGCTAAGAGCCTGGATACACCCCAAATACGACTTCGCCGCCCATCACTTTAGAGCGCGCATGAAACCGCAAGCTGCGTAGGTTACGGGAGCTTATATTTGCTGATGGAGGACAAACCTTAAAATCCTAAGAATTGACAGTTCAAGAAATGTCCAAGCTGCATGGTGGACAAGCACATTACGCAGCTCTAAGCCTGGTCTAGATCAACTTTTCCTGAGCAGGTTCTCTCGGCTTTGGAGGAACCTCTGCCATCATGTCTCTACTGACAACGGTCTTTGCGCAGCGAAACCCGTACCGTGGGTAAGGTAGCTCTGTTATAATGTTCCACTCTTCCACCCGCCGATCATAACATTCCACTGATGTCACTGCCACGTGACCATAAGAACCACCAAACACGTAGATCTTCCCACCAAATGTTGCTGCGCCTGCGCGGTCACGTTTGGTGTTCATATCTACAGTAGGAAGTGGAAAATATCCTTTGAGGAAGACTGAGGTTTTCAATAAAGTAAAATTGTACGAATTTAAAAGCTCTCCCCTGTTTGATTCCTCGTACTGTTCGCCTTTTTAAATTCCAATCTCTTTGTTAATCAAGTCTGTTTAAGCGGTCAAAATTGGCTGGATTGTTATCTCAAGATACGAGAGGGCAAAACCGCCAAGAAAAAAAGCCAAGGGTTTTGCTTAAATTAGCAAACATTAAGGTTTCTCCTAACACTTCCCATACGGATCAACAATGATATCAATCTCGTTCCCAGGGCTCACGCTCTCCTAATCCCTCACACGCGGGTGAGGAGGACGTATACGTTGATATGTTGCAAATAAGCTGAATTGATATTTTAACTACAGTAAAAACCCGCATACAAGAACATGTGGATTATGAACACCCAGGCTGAAATTTGGTAAAAAAGGAGCATACATATAAGAACACATTCAGCCTGAAAATTGAAAATTGTTCTTATATATAAAAACTCTTCCCTTTTCAGTTTAATAGAACAAACACTGTATGCAGCTTTACCGTGGTATTACACTAAGATCTCTGTATAAATGCTAGTAATTTAATAATAATAATGTATATGAGAACGATGCTTCGCAGTAAAGCACTATGTGAGCAATAGTGAAAATCAGACCTGAAAAAATTTCAGGCCTGTACGGGATTCGAACCACTGGCCTCTGCGATACTAGTGCAGCGCTCTACCAATTGAGCTAACAAGCCAACTGGGAACAGGCCATCAAATTAATTCGATATAAACCCGTGGATGATAAATCAAACAACAACAAACATATGAAACATATGTGTGAACTGCGGTTATGAGACGTATATGAGAACGATCCTTCGCAGTAAAGCACTATTTGAGCAATAGTGAAAATCAGACCTGAAAAAAATTTCAGGCCTGTACGGGATTCGAACCACTGACCTCTGCGATACTAGTGCAGCGCTCTACCAATTGAGCTAACAAGCCAACTGGGAGCAGGCCATCAAATTAATTCGATATAAACCCGTGGATGATAAATCAAACAACAACAATAATAATAATAATAACAATTTCGATTCACTTGCTATTTAAAGTCTTGATAATTACATGAAAAATATGCTCGGTTGCGCAATTTATTTTCTAATGTTGTGTGTCTCAAGTTTAATTTTCTCTCAAAGTTATGTATTTCATCATAGTTAGTAAATCCCTTACATTTTTTTAGAAGTAAAAAATTAAGAACACTTGAGAACACTTTCAGGCTGATTTCACCTAAAATACCCGATATATAAGAACCCAATCAGCCTGAACCCCGAAATCGCGAAAATGGGTGTTCTTTTATGTGGGTTTTTACTGTATGGAAAGTTGGGAACTTCTAGTACTGAGACATTTGAGATGAAATTTCACCTACCTTTCCCGTAGATCCATTTATTTCTTTCTGGCTCGTAAATCTCACAGGAGCTCAAAATGTTACGAAAATCTGACCCGCCTCCCATGACGTAGATCCGACCCAAGAGTACCACTGTACATGCTCCGCTGCGCGGGGTGTGTAGACTGGCGACATGGGTCCATTTGTCTTGTTGCGGGTCATATTTCTCTACTGTTTTCAGGACTGTGTTGTTTTTGGAGACACCTTCAGAAGAATGATATAAGAAAAGCTTAACAACTGCATGTTCTCAGCAAAATTAAACGGAAAGAGTGTTCTACAAAAGGCTCCCATCGGTTTCGTTGTTTTTGATACTTGTTTTTTAATCAGTCGATATCAAAGCACTATTTCTTTTGTTAACCTCGAACAGACGCTAATTTTTTGGTCAGCGACCTCTCATAATAATAATAATTCTTTTTAGAGATGAAGGCCTGCCATGTGGTTCTAGCTCTATGTGCTTTATTAAAATGCGGAGTCTACACCTTGGGATCTTTGCTGTCCGAATTGCAATCGGTATACTCAGGTTTATCTTTTTGCAATGTGATTCAGAGGTTAAGAGTCACCATAATTTATAGCAAGTGTCGGAGAGCTCTGGACCCACAATATAGTCCGGTTCAATCAGACTGAGACATTACCGTGACGGCTCAAGCACAGACGGACAATTTTTAGTTTAATACAAACACGAACCTGATACCAACTACAACCGCCTCTAGTGTCGCTTAAATCCTAAAAAAATGTGTTGGAAAACCAACAATTACTTTGAAGCTAACAAAGACGAGGTACATAATTGACAGGAAATGAAACTCAAACGAAACTATTTGGAGAGAACTATGTTATCATTTAGAGCCGAATTTTCTCAGAGCATCTTTACCCCCAATAACATAAACATATCCATCCAATGACACAGCACAGTGTGTAAAACGGGTCTGACGGGGCGAGGACAGCGAGAACCAAGAATCAGTCACGTGATCATAGCAATCCATTGCTTGCTCCTGATTACTATTTCCCAGGACCCCTCCCACGACGTAAATTTTCCCATTGAGCTCGACGGTCTCGTGGTTAAAGCGACCTAAAGATAAACAAACAAACGAAAAATAAAAAAGAAACAAACCTTGATATATGAAATTTCTTTCTGTCGCAATTAACTCAGGGGTCAGCTGCGGATAAATTTCTGGGTATATCTTTTAGCTTGAATTGTTTTCTTAGGGCTAGAGTTATGCTTTCTGCGTTCAAACCTCGTTGTTCTCATTTTGAGTTAAAGTTTTCACACCTTTAATCCTCCTTCTCTAGCTCGACAAGGTCTTCTTTCTTGCCTGAGTATAACAGTTCTTAAATTGTTAGCGTAGGATACACTACAGGACTTAATTCACATTCATTGAGAATCTCAGGAGACTGCATTTTTCTTCTCAGACCTTTGTCTACCACTTTTACCTGACGTAGTTGAGGTGATTTTCTCCCATGTGTTGAATTTTGGATCCAGCCTTTCTACACTTGAAAGAACGTTCATATTCTCTCCAGAAGTAGAACCACCAACGACATACAACCAGCGATGTAACCTGGCCAGGCCAAAGTTCAACCTACTGTCAATCACTGGAGACAGGCAGTACCATTTATTGGTCAGCGGACTGAAACAATGACAGCAAGCTTGGACGCCATTTTCAATGGCTCCACCCACCAGAATGATAACATCTGTCAAGTGAGACTTCCACCTGGTATTCTCAAAGAGAGAAAGGATTTCAAGGATATTTTGAATTGACGATCATGTAGTACCTAAAAAAAATGTTTAGCACGGAACTTTTAGGCCTAAGTTAAGTCTTTCGAGCCTAGGGTCCATTCCAACCAGATCTTATCGCGGTTACTTGCCTAAGAACACAACAGTCAAGGTCGCTCAAGGACCTCTCAACCTGATATCTGGCGTGCTGACCAGTACGTCATCGCGTCCCCTCCCCGCCCCTCCACTAAGTTGATGAATTTTAAATCACTTTGCGATTGAGTGTCCTAACAGAGGAGAGAAAAATTCTCTTAAGAGCCAATGAGAACTCAAAGTAAAACCAACCAAACTGTCTAAAGCGCTGGAAAACACGCAAGCGACTGTGTCGGAATTACATGGCTTTACTTTTGCTTCAGTTTGGTCGAGACGGTGGCGCGAATTTTCTGGACCAAACACAGAGTAAGGCAAAGTAAAATCAATGCAATCCCAGATTACTCTCGACACTCGATTGAAAATTGCTCTAACCATACATTTACCTCCGTTTAGTTCTCTCATTCTGAAGCAATTTCTTCTCCTTGTGGCCGGCCATTTTGTAAGACATGGCCTCGGCTACTATACCTCTACAAATCGAACATGACGTCACTAACGGATCCTTATCGATCGTGCCGAGCAGAAAGGTTCGTGCGATGAAAGGCAGTCGCACGTGACTCAATAAGTCGGAAAATGAGTCACGCCTTGAAATAACATCAAAGTTTGTCCACGCACGAATTGAATTGAAAATTTGTTCCTCATTTTTCACGTTCAAGTCGTCGTCTGCGATAATTTCCTCCAGTTGCTCTTTTGGCATTTTGAAGAATTCCTCCGAGTTTTGAATCTCCAAGAAATTTTCTGTCATGAATTTCTTTCCTTCCAGCAGAAGTTTCTTGCATGAGTAGATGCGAGCCATGGCCGTCATTTTGATGCAGTTCTCGACACAAATATAACGAATGAGGAACTGCTCACATTCAAGTTTCAACGATTCTAATCCCAAGTGAAAAGAAGCGCAAAGTATCTCTTCAATGTTTGCATCAGTAACAAAGATGTGAGCAGAGTAGATGTAATCCAAAACAATCTGAAGAATAGAGTCTGTTATGCCTTGTAGAACTGTTTCTCTGTTGTACCTTGATAACGAAGTACCTGTATAGAGCTTGTAAAAATATGCACTGCTTGCGGCAAGAACAGCTCTGTGCGCATAGAACTTTTTGCTTCCATTCTCTGTCATTAGTACGACATCACATAGCACCTCAGATTCTCGCATCTGGTTCATTTTGGCGATAAAACTGATCAAGTACTGATGACCGTTAGTACAGGCTGCTCCAGAGGTATCCATTTTATGGTGTTTTCGTATGTAAAGCCGCTTTAATGAAATCTACGTCGGCTTTGTACCAGTTCCCCTAACAGGTGGTTTATATATTTAATTCATTTTATCAATAAAGCTCGTCTTAAGTTTTGAATACTTTGGGTTGGATACCTATATGTCACTGCGTTGCAGTTAAAGAACTCTTATTCTGTAATCCACAATTACAATATGCAATAGGTGGTCATAGAGAAAGAAATAAACGTATCTGAGAGCCAAAAGTCGTAAACGGATGAGATCTCTGTGAATAATTAGATGCTTTGGGAGGCCATTGAACGATTCAGCCTTTTTGCGGTAAGTGCACCTCGACAAGTCAAGAAGAAAAAGCTACCGAAGCTGATACACCCAGACAGATAAGTATTTATCGAATTTGATTCGAGTGAAGTGAAATAACCTGTTTATAGAACTCAAAGCTGGTTAAATCGGTCTTAAAAGCCAAGGAATTGTTTTAAAATAAGTTTAAAAAGAGATTATAAACTGTTTATACTCTCTTAGCTTGAATTCTTACACCTTTACATAGCAGGAGAAAATTGGCGAAAAATTTAATTCATTTGACCTTCTGCCTACTAACACCTGGTGTGTTTTTATCCAATTAGTACAAAACGAGATAAACAACAGTACGTATTCGAGCAGTAAGTGAGTCGAGGCCAGGGTCGAAATCTTTCCCTAAGCCTTAAAAAGGTTTTGTTTTTCTTTTCAATAGACAGCCCAGTAAAAAATGAGCCGTTGATATAAATAAGGAAAAGGGGTACTCTTTAATAGACTCATTCGTGAGCTGTTGCAGAGAATGCTGATCACTGCGCTTCCCTGCCAAGTCGCCTCCACGTTAAGTGACCTCGTCCCCCCTAACATCGTGTAAGGTCGATCACTCATCGCGATCTTAAAAACGCTCCATTACTTACACATTAAAAAAACAACGTAGTTGATGAGTTAATTGGGTTTTTCATACTCAGGGATCATGAAGAAGCCGTTTATATTATCTTTTCACTCTTCCTTTCCTGTAAGGCATAGGATTGAGAGCAAATTTGTTTTCCTTAATCTAACATTTTTATATATTAACCCAAATAATGATGCGAGTTTGTTTCAATTATGATCCATGCACTGTCAGTTTACAAGCATAGTGATAATCACGCAATGAGTTCTGGGATGATGTAACCTGATACCTGTTGGAGGAGTGGGAACTTAGAGAATGGGGGAGTAGCGGTAACCGATTGGCGTTGTGCTGTATTCAAGATTTAAGGGACTTTAGGTTCAAGCTTAGCTCAGTCTGACTTTGAACTCTTGGCATGAGAATTTTGTCTCCAGATGGTTTCATGATTGGTTGATGTAGATAGATACCTGAGTTAATAATTAAGGCAAACCATTTATTGATAAAAGTAAGACAATCTTACAGAGAGATAATAGTTAAGGCAAAACATTTATTAATAAAAAGAAAGATAATCTTACAGACAGATAAAACCATTATGTAACCTTATAGGGTCACATTCACAATTGTTTCATTACAAATGTTTCAGAGACCAGGTATTGCTTCTTCGCAACACGAAAATGTTTCATCATCATCTCCACAAACAGCCTCCAAACTATCATCATCTGATTCTGAGTTTTCTATCATCACAGGTGGGTTTGATATCACCAAACCTATAAAAACCAAAAATAAAATTGCTTACTGTCTTTGAAACATAGATAAAATCAAAGTCTGCTGGTAATTGTGGAGCGATGATAAAACTTTTTCATTGTGAAATATCTTGGGCACAATTTGTTAAGCCAAGAAAATATTTGGCATTGCCCTAAAGAGCACAGCAGCAGAGTTTATTACAGAGTGTGAAGGATTCGGGAAACTTTCAATATTTCATCCTCATCAGTAACAAGTTCTGACGTGGTGATATCATCATCACCATTTCCCTCCTCATCTTCACACATCATATCCACAACCGATGTAAACAATATTTGATCTAAGTAAAAGGCAGAGGTAAAAAAAGAAACATAATAATTAATAATGAAATAACCTTGCAGTTTGTTTGACATTATAGCTGTGATTGTTTCTAAACAATTCAAATCTTCAGGGTTATTTCTAACACCAGTTTCATTTTTCAACAAACTCTAAGGAAAGAACTGTTTTCATGGACAAATTTATGCAGTTTTAGAATGGCTGGTACTGTCATTACTTACCTAACACCTCCAAGCATTAATTAAACAGACTACAACAATGGCTTGATGGGCAGTCACTTGGTCAAGGTGGACACTGATTTAAATGGAGGGACTCTCTTTGAAAAAGAGGCTTGGGGTAATTTTGAAATGAGCTACTGGCCAAGTTCAATGAATTTTCAGTGTTCATGGTTTCCTGAATCTCAAAGTAACTTATTACATGTAAAATGTACTTACTGACTGCTGCTGATAACCTTGTATGTCTCCTGGCAAGATTTCTAACAACATTATCCCTTGCTATTGTCTTGAGCCTGGTAGTAACACAAGTAATGTGCAAAAAGTTTGCGGTCTTTTGAAGTACAAATGACATTTATTCCAAAATTCACCCAAACTACTTTGTATTTTCAGCTTTTGATCAATCTTTAAGAATTTATTTTTATTTACTTTTCACATCAATATTAAAAAAGATAGGTTTTTGTTCAAAGTGAGTTAAGGAATCTGCATGAGTAAAATGGCAAAACACAGTTGTGGATAACTACTTTCATGAACTTTCCCACACAAAACCTTCAATTATATAGACAGGCCTAGATGTATCATCACAAGACAAATTACAGTACAAAATGAATTTATCTGATTGCCTTGTCTCAAAATGTTACACTGATCTTGATTGACTTTGGAATTGAAATTTTCAGCAAGGGAAAAAAATGCTCTTTTCAGGAAATATTTTTTGGAAGATGAAGAGATTGAGTGATGCACGATTTCTCCATAGCTCACGTAAGAAAACATACTGTTTTCAAGCGAAGGGGATTGCATCCAACTACCTTCAGTATCCAGTGGGTATAGAAATAGCGCAAGTAACTAAGCAGTTTTGTTTGTTTACTGCGAGAGTCCCACTGCCCGTGCTTTTCAACTGATTCAATTTGGTTTCAACTAAATCAACCAAAACGGGTTATTCTCAAGAAAACAGATCAACCAAACCATCTTAAACGGTTGATCGCAAAAGAACACTATTTACACGTGACAACGTCACCCAAAAATACTTACAATCCACAGTCTCGGAGAATGGATTTTCCTGCTGCAGAGGACAAACTTCTCACTAAAAAAAGATAAATAGTACTGATTATAGTATGCTCGTTATGTTGCTCTGTTACATAATTTGTCGTTTAATACATCAACAACCATGGAAGCAAAAATATTGGAGCACTGGTTACCTTGTGTCGCGCTGTTCGCATTCAGAGCTGTTTTCTGTGCAAAAATAAAAATCTGGTCAGTCAGTGTATTATTTTCATTGCTTTAGATCAGGCTATCTAGACTTCTTACCGACATTTGCACTGAAACACGAGCAAATGATCTTAAACAACGTGCAGATAACGCCGCCATTTTGTTACCTTCCCATCATGCTTTACACGCTGAATGATAAAGGCGATGTACCTTGATCAGCGGTAAATTCAAAATGGCGGCTGCTGCACGTTGTTTGCGTTCCCTGACTCGTTCTACGTCTGCGGCAAAGGTGATCAATGCCATAAGACTAGTCCGATCCAATAAATACTAATACTGATCTTTATTTTTATATTTGTTGTAGCATTTGTCCTCCTGCGTCTTGAAAAATGTGTCACAAAGTGAGTACAAAATTCATCTGATTACTGCTGTAACACACGCTTTGGAAGACAGACCGGTCAATCGTATCGATTCTCCTCTCGATTACGATTCCCTTTTAACTTTTACCTACAGAAAGAATGTATCGTTCATGAATCTACTTAGTGTGTGTCAGTGTTTGGTCTTTTAAGCTAATCACTGTTGTTATACTTTACAATCCTGAAACCAAATTGGTGTGCCACTAGGGCAGGTCATGCATGATATTGTTTACGTAATTTAAACTCTTTTAATGCGCTAAGGTTGCGCTAGAGTTTTAACTTTGAGTGATGTATACCGGAATCTAGTCGAATAAATTGTTTGTCGCTTTTTTTTCTGAGTTTTTTTTTTTCATTTTTCTATCTATTTATTTATTTGTTTATTTATCTATTTATTCATTTATTCACAGAATCAAGTACTAGTGTGTCATCACCACTCCTGAAGTCGTTTCTTAGCAATGAGAGTGGATTGTAAGTGCAGTTAACATGAAAATTTTATTCAAGACTGCTTAAATCAATGTTATTTGATGGCTTAGAATATCTTTAAAACTCAGAAATTTTGAAGGATTACATAACTTTCAGAAAAGGGAAAATATAGATTAATTGAGTAGCTTTTATTGACAGTTTTTTTTGTCCAAGTGATCTGATATCATTGCTTAAAGTACATTAATTTCATTGTCTTGAATTTATTTTTCTAAAGGATAAGGGGATCAAGAATGTCATCTAGGATCAGTTTTAACAAAAGATTTACACCAGTGTCCTTTGTCTGTAAGTATGAAATATCCTAATTCCTTGTTTGCACCACTGTATGTTCAGACTTGAAAAATCTTGGGGAGTCGGGAAAATCCTAAATTAAAAGGAACTTAAAGCTTTGATAAGGAGTTGTTTTTCTATCAACAGGTGCTGTCCCCAAGACTTGTCCTCTTTCAGTAGATGGAGGAAGTGACGGCATTGAGAGTTTAGATGGTAACCTTGGAGATGATGATGGTGATACTTGGTCCCAGGGTGAAGATGATCCTTATTTAGGAATCACTTGATGCAGGGTGTGATACTGACTGATACCTGCCCACTACTTTTTATCAGGAACTGCAAGAAGTTTTTATGTAAAAGATTTAATTTTCTGTAAACTGAAGAAAAATATTGTTTGTATACATGCAATTTTTCCTGTGGACAGACTTTGCTTTTGGCCGTAAATATTTCTTTACATCTCTTTCTTCTCTGGTTTAAATTTCTGTTGAAGAAAAAATTCATAAAGTTTGAACCAATCTGTTTGAATACTGTCTTTGATTTATTAAATTAAATCTGCTATGATGATCATTTTAACAATATCCAATTTTTAAGACTTTGTTCATGAAGGAACAAATGAGATTCTCAGAAAAACACTGTTCTTTAAGATGTGATCTCTAATTTCCTAATTACAATGCCATTTTTCACATCTATAACTAACAAGTACTACTGACAGTCATTTCAATGGTACACTGCGGTACAGTACAGAATTAGATTAAGAATAGTGTTTGATGTCAGTCAACATTGCATAAGATACAGTACACGAATGCATCTGTTTGGACATGCTTACTTTTGCTTTGAGTGAAATAAACCAATATTGATTTTACACACTATTTAGAGAGTTAATGAAATTTCTTTCATCCCTGTTCATAACTTGAAACTTTCCCATCCAGTATTCATAGAGTGTGTCGTCAGTTAGTGTTGGTGAAGCAGGGCTACTCTCTAAGAACATTAACAAAGTTAGCATACAAAGAGAAAACAAAAGTAAGAGACCACTATTCCTCTTGTAAGGGTGATTCCTAGCTCATGTGTTCAAGTGTTAACAGTCCTGTCTTATTCAGTTGATTGTTTGCCATGGGTCTCTAGCTGTGAGAATTGATTAAAAGTTTAAAGGAATTTTCACAATCTTTTTTTATAACCTTCCACTTTCTTGCCAGCTGGAATGGATAATAGAGTGATTATTCAAGGGAAAAAAGTGCAGTGATAAAGCTGGAGGGATCTGTTGTGCCCTTTACATATACATGTGAAAGTGTAGTGTGATCATCGGGTGAGTGTACATGTAGTCCTGAAAGGGACTGTTCTTGGTGGTGTTGAATGACGTTTCAACAATTTGTGCAGAAGTCATCTTGAGAGTCAAGTGATGACTCTGATGATGAATTCTGCACAGGTTCTCGAAACATCAGTCGCCACCACCGACAACAGTCCCTGTCAGGACTACACTCACCCAGACGATCACACTACACTTTCACATGTTACCTCCTGGTTCAAACCATTAAATTTTACTGCTTCATCTATACACTTTGGCAACTTACTCCTGCTGATCTCATGTAAGATTAATTTCAAAACCTTTGAAAATGAGAACTTTTGTACACAATTTAACTTCTGTTTTTCAAATGCTTTCATTGATAGATAACATTATTATGTAGCAAAATTTAACAGAGGAGAGGAGGAAACATTCTCCAGCAATTTTATCTGTTCACTCACTCAGGAGACTGGCAACTAATGTTTTTCCAAAATGGCGGCGGAAGATGCGTGCTTCGACGAAGAGCTTCTTTTTACCGAATTTGAGGCAGAAAAGGAAACAAAAAGACCATCAGAAGAGAGGAATGATTGCCCTGGTAAAACGCCTTGGAACACGTTACTACAAGAAAACATACGGTTGAAGAATGCTTTGAAATCTTTGATCGGTGTGTGGAAGTTGAACTGTGCCACTACAGCTGAACACCAAGATAGGTATTCTCCTTTATTTCAAGGGATTTTTTTCGATAACAAGTCTTCGATTAGATCCAGAGAAAAGGTCGAAGAATTCATTCAAACTATACTACGACGAACCGACGATTTTAATGAGGGAGAGTCGTTTGGAAGCCAAAATTTTCCAGCTTCCGTCTTTGATACAAATTATGAAGTGGGCAAGTTAGCTGAGGACAAGGGTTATAGCCAACCTTTTTCCATCATTAGTTCTTTGCAGTACTACGATGAATATTGTATAGACTGCAGTGGGCTGCCGTTAGTTGATCTAAATCCTCAGATCAGTGATGGTTGGACAATTCCTCAATACGAACAAGTTTATTTTCGAGTTTTGGCTCCAGATGAAACACCAAAATTGAAGCTGAAAAGTCGGAGTTGTTGTTTCAATTGTGGAAATCCTGGACATTCTCTCCAAGACTGCCCTGAGACACATGATTTGCAAAGAATCAATGCAAACAGGCGAGAATTCCACAATAAGTTTGCTTCACCAGTGAACTTAAGAACTAGATACCATCTTGATGATTCAGCAATGAAACGCTTTGGAAGGTTCAAACCAGGGTTGATTACTGATGAGCTAAGGGAAGCACTCGGAATCACAGAGCAAGATTTGCCACCATACATTTACCGAATGAGACATTTGGGTTATCCACCAGGGTATTTACCAAAGACTGTGAAACCAAGTTTGCTTATTTATGATGGAGATGGCAGCATAAATGATTACATTGAGGAGGAAGATGAACACGAGAATGAAGAACACTTTAGAAGTTCTTTCATTGAATACCCAGGATTCAATATTCCCTTACCAGAAGGTGAGTTTGTACCTTGCAGAAGATAGTAAGAAGGAGGTATTTTTAATAACCTAATGTTGCATACCTAGAAAATTGGAAAGAAGTGCTCTAATCAGTTTCATCAAAGCTCACTGAGTGGTGTCAGTTTCATTATTCCTAGGTTTGGCCAGTTGCTTTTAAGGGAATAATTATGAAATAAGGTTATACTCACTGATATTTCACTAACACAAATATATAAATTTCCTTTGAAAAAGGGAATAAAAGAAGCAGGATGTAAGAAATATAATTGAAAAATTTGGTATCCAAGGGTTCTTTTCATTCTTAGACACTCACTCTAAATTTCCCAAACGGAAAAGCAAAGAGGAATTTTGTAGACAAACATCTATTAAAATTGATGCTTGTATTAAATTGTTAAGGTTCAGCGTCGTGTACATGAATTTTGGTAGGCTTTTTCTTCAATATTTATGTGTAAATCTACTTACAGCTTATGGAAATGATGCAAAAAGCTGTCTTTGTCTTACAAATTTTATGAAACAAAAGTTTTATCCTGCCTAAATGGATATGTGACCTTATTTGGATAACACAAACCATTTCTTTATTTCCAATGCCATTACTTACAAGAAGTGGATTTCTTAACAAAAGCACAAGTTTACATTTAATATTATAATTGTATCTCACCTTTTACAAGCCTAATGTTAAATTTGTACTTACTTGGGAAGGGAAAAAAGTCACTTAAGAAATGATGGATCAGTTACATGTATTATTATGTCACAGTTGAATTCAAAGTGCTAACCCTTTTAGTCCCAAGATCTGACTGTTGGTCCCCCCCCTCACCTAAGTTGCTGCACATTTTGTTCTAAACTAATTTCAAGAATTGGGTGTTAGATCAAGATAAACTCCAATCTGACAAGTTTTGAAATATTCTTATTACCTGTTTGCTGGATAATGTATTAATATTAATATTATCAGGAGAGGTTGTATGTTAATCACTTCTGGGAGTCAAAGAATTGATTGTGATTTTACAGGTGTTAGAGACAGTTGTGCTGAGGTGGGAGCTCCTCCAATGCTGCCTCATCAGCAGATTGACAATTTAGTGGCCAAGTATGTGCACATGAGAGGAATGTCATCAAACTCTGCTGCTTTAGGCAGTGACAGGAAACGAAAAAGAGTGGAACTGGATCGGGAAGAGCAGGACATGGATGTTGAGGAAGATGGTTAGATTTTATTGACTGTTTTAATATATTAACAGTGAAATAATTAGAAGGAAAGAATGTTAGTTTCTTGTACTAGTGTATTGTGTGTGTTATGACAAACCTTCTTTTGGATGTGCCCAATCCTTTCTATCTAGCTTGGCTCAACTAAAGGGTTATTGATATCTCAGTCAGCTGTATGATTTTTTTGGAGTAGCATTGCACTAAGTCACTTCCTGCTACTTAGACAAGACAAATCTTCAGCAGTGTAAGCCAGTTGGTTACCTCAATGGATAGAGTGCTGGACTGTTGTGCGGGAGGTCGAGGGTTCGAGCCCCGGCCGGACCAACACTCAAGGTCTTTAAAGAACTGAGAAGAATTTGCTACCTTAGTTTCTAGTCTACTCGGATAAGGACGAATAAATGGAGGTCCCGTCTCCCGTAGGGTTAGGGGCAGGAGACATTAATTTCCCACGCACGAGATTACTGTGTGGTGGATGTCCTCCCCTGGGGTGGGATGGATGGGGATAGAGGGCCACAGGGTCATCAGTTGTACTTGAACTGTTATGTGCTACCCTCTTAAAAATAAAGTCATTATCATTATCATTATCATATCATTATCATATCATTATCATATCATCATTATCATATCATTATCATTATCATATCATTATCATTATCATTATCATTATCATATCATTATCATTATCATTATCATTGACTCAGAGCAGGATTGTTTGCAGTAAGTGATTAAAACACTAAAAATAATGTCCAGGTATTTAATGAACTTGGGAAATAATTTGTATGAATGAGAAGGAACTTCTTTGAAGATCAGCATCACTAAACCAAATTCAGGGCTGGGCTGTAAGTCATTTCATTTTTAGGGTTTTAGGTTTCTACAGGAGCAATTTTTAACACAATTGAAGAGTTTCCAGCAATGCTATTGGTTTTGTTGTTACCTCTATGAATGTGGTGATCAAGAGAATCTGATTTTTCAGTTATTCAGTTCCCACATTATACTGAAACAATAATTATTGCTTGTCTTGGGCTGAGTTAATGTAATACTTAATGCTTATGCTTAGGTCTTCAATGTCAGCTCAAATTTTTTTTATTCAGAAACTGTTTGCTGTTTTGTGCTAGGTGAAACAAATGCTTCCTTAGTGCTGGGCTCAACAGTCCTTCCACATAATCCTGCTGCCACCAAAAGAACAAAGTATGATGACATGCAAGAAGATGTTGTTGTTGACAGCAGTGGTGGCTACTCTCCCTCTCACCCTGGTGTTCAGTATGGAACACAAGAACAGGAACTTCTTCAGCAATACAGGAAACACTCTGCAAGCAAACCCACTCCTTCCACCTCAAAGGAACTACACCCAGAAGCAAGTAGTGCCACTAATAAAGCCAAACCTCAGAAAATAAGAAGGAAGGTCCGGAGGAGTGTGGAAGAAGGAGAGGTTGTCTCTGATGAGGAGGGGGAGCTTGAAGACGTGGACGAGAGTGAGATGGAGGAGACAGAAGAGGAAGTTGCAGATGATTACCCCTAGGTGACACCTGGCTGGTGGCTAAGAGAACCTTTAGATTCTGTGTTGGCAACAACACAGCCCAAGCTGTCTCCTCCCCCTAAACCATCTGTGCAGCTGCCTTTGGATGCACTTTCAAGATTTTACACCAACAGCACTGTGTTGCAGAAAATGAGTTTTGAGGACAGAGTAATGTGGCTGGATCCAATATATGGCAACCTTCAACCAGTATCAGGGCGATATGACAGACTCAGGAAACTTCTTGGAAAGACAAATACTGCAAAATAAATCTGTGAACAGACTTCATGCCAGGTATGGGAAGTAAGAGGCACTTTTTACTCACCAACGTTTTATAGACAGTCGTTATTATCTGGTGATTAAAAATTGACTTTCCTCTTGTTTGAGGAATTTTAAATTCTTAGCTCAATTTTAGTTCTAGGACTTTTTATATCCAGTGGAATTGAAATGTCAAAATATTGTGGCACTTTAATGGTTTTCATTACCCAACCAGTTTTGAGAGCATGGGCTATTTTACTAATCTTGTAGTCAGCAGGCTGTCATGTATACGTCACGTCAAACTCCTTAGAACAGAAAGTCGTCCCTTGAAGTTTTTAAATTTTACTCAGTGAAAGAGGAATTTGTATAACCAAACAAGTTGGGCTCTTAGATTAAACGGACAACAATCTCATATTTTTATATTAAATTTTAAGTTTGTAGACTAGAAGTTACCCCAAGCACTTAGAACCGATAGCGACCAATAGGATGAAAGCGGGAGAAATCAATGAGCATATTAACTGACTTATTCAGCTTCGTTTGGAGCCACATCACAAATAATTCTCAATTGTAAACAATTCAAACCCTTTTTGTTATCGAGGTGATTCCTCAGAAAAAAATGTTATCGACCAATCTTTTTAAAACTTTCCTTAAATGTTCCCTACCGATGCCTGTTTCGAAAAATACATTGAAAACAAAAGTCACCGTGCTTGTTTAAGAGACTTGACGGGCCAAACTAACCCCATTGTTTACCTGTACTGGCATTAATCGCGCGCGTTATTTCATCGGTGTCACGGTACATTTTGCGGTAGCTGGAAGCTAGGGTTTCTAAAGTAACACTTGAAAGAAACTTAATAGATAGAAAGTCACGAGAGTATGGAACAATGTGATATATACTATGTGGAAAAATCACGCAATTTTAAACGACAAAGACTCAAAACGTTTCTCTAGTCGTTGCTTTCAAGGTCATAATTTGAATCCTCATCGGCTTCGTGCACACTTTTAGCTAGATCTTTTTTTCCCTTCGATGAATTTTTCATGAATTTCTGCAATTGAAAGGGGATAATATATACAGAAAAATTATGCACTAAAGAATTTTAGGCGACCGTGCTCGTTTGGTCCATTGATTGAAACGCTTGATTTTTTTGCGCAGTACAGGATGTGAATTGCATTACCGAGGAATCACCTTAACAGGGGTTTCATTAATGTTTTTGGCAGGAGGGCAACTGATTTTCACAGGTTGGCAAAAGCTTTTAAACTGAACTTCTTTATAAGGTAAACTTTCCTCCAGATCGTCAAACCAGGTGGGCAAAACCGTGGTCACAACCGGTGAATTTGCCTGGTGCCCAGGCCCTTAACGAAACCCCTGAGGCTTAATGAGAGCAACAAGGCTGGTTTAGTTTTCTTGATCCCAAGTTTTAGTTTTTCCTCTGTATGTATTTCAGTTACTTGAAGACATGAAATTCTGTGGAAGGAGGGAATAAGATGTATTCTCTGTACTTACAACAGACTTCAGTAATCTTGTAAAAAAAAAACTGTTACTCTTTATTTAAAGAGATTGAAACCTCTCTATTTGCTTTCATTGTCATACGTCAAATGGTGTGTCTGTAGACAAGCTGCTGGTGACGTTTCCCGAGGTTACGCGAATTTCTGCTCTCTATTTTTTTATCGTAACCCTAAAAATTTAAACCCACTTTGTACAAATTCGCGCAGATTGAGCTATTATTTTTACCATGTTCCAAGGGTCGAGAGATTCTTTCCCCAGACCTCTCTCTTTTGGGCGCAAGATTAACGGAAAGAGTGCTGGGGAACCGCCCAGTGAGACTGCGAGCCCTGATTGGCTCAAGCCGAGATAATATAATGGTTACCGTTGATCAATCAGTGAAATTACAGAGTACTCACGATAGCGGCGCTTAGAAAAACAACCAAATCTGAACCCGTTTTAGTCTCAAACATTTGGTGGCTATTCAAAGTGACTGATTTAGATAGCAGTACAAGGGGATGGTTGTTACATAAATACCTCCTATATGGCTTGATTTGTCGGCGAGTTCAGTCTTTCTCTACTTGTCCGTGTTTACTAAATACTATTGGTTTTAATGAAGAATTAAGGCCCCATTTGAACAACTTATTTCCGTTTTGACATTTTTGATACCAGAATTGTAGTGGAGTCGGGTTCTTTAAAGGAGCGGCCTCTCTTTGCGACACTTAATAAAAACCCGACAGAAAAGATTAACTTCCCATCAATACACAAACAAATCATTCCAGTAGAAATCGTCGGCTTTTTTAATAAATGTTTTGTGGGATGAGTCAAAAGAAGGTCGCGGATTAAAAGAACACGATAGCATATTTATACTTGCTTATAGACTATAGGAAATCGAGAAACTAGAAGCCACAAGCTTCCACGTCTGTTCTGAGGGGGAAAAAGGCCTTGGCGAATTGTTAGAAGTCGATTAGAGAAATCAAAATATACCTTCATCGTTATAAGAGAAGTCGAGATCGTGAATTTGCAAATAATCTCCACTTCAACGCTGACAGATGTGTTTATCTGATTAATTATATGATAAAACAGTATTCTGATCAAATAAAGTCTTTCCTTGTTCAAAGACATACAATTTTAGCTATTTTAATACGGTTCGAATTTATGGTCGTTAGCACGTTTGCAGGCTGCGAGGAAAATTAACTGCGAGAACAGTTTTGTGTCCAGCCTACTTGAAACATATTCCTATCACTCTCTCTTTTTTTCTCTCTTTTACGGAAAATCCTATCAGCTTGACAGCTGTAGACTTGTTTGTTATTCAGATCAAGTTTTGTTCTTCGCGTCTGCGGATAAAAGGAACTGAATTTAATGGACGTGTGAGGGAAATGGATTTCTTTCAATTTGATTGAAAACTTCAATATTATTTCCCGTTTTTATTTTATTTAGCGGTGCATTTTTCAGAGTTTGCAATCGTTTCTAAAGAGACTAGGCTGTCACAGGTTTTGGAGTTGTTTGTTTTCTCAGAAAGATTCAACACAAATAAGTTTTGTATGGGATTATCATAGGTAGAACTTGCTAAAACTCCATTAAAGAACGATATCTAAAATTTCCTTTCATTCAAAATTTATTGGGCGTTCATTTTCTTTTGTTTTGGCATTGTGAGAGCACAATACTCGCATACATCGTTTGGAAACAATTTCGCTTCATTTAGCTTTCTTAACAATCCATAACCGCCGCAACATCACTTGTTTGAATAATTTGTAAAGATCTCTGAGTACAACCTGCTGTCGCAGATTAATTAGTTTCTTTGACAAAGATTTTAAGTGATTTGAAAATCCCACAACATCAACCTTAAGTTTTTTACCAGCACTGCTTTGGTCTCGAATATTGCATGAAATGCCGTGAAAAAAATTTCAGTTTCAATATTTAAGTCATGCTGGAAAAATGCAAATTTGTCACCTGAGGTTGAAAAGAAGAGCGATTTTTCGCTATCCCGTCATTAGCTTGAAATCAAAAACCGTGCTCGCGCAAGATTTTGCAGCCACGAATCGAAGTTTGATCGTTGGTTCTCTGTGAACCAATTACTTGCATAACTCGCAGCAAGTAACATGTGAACATCTTGTGAATAACCCGCATAGCCGTGGTAGTAATCATAACAGCGCTTGATCGCGTTAAAAATGCGGTTGCGATCAACATAATAAGGTTTGTTCAACAGATATCGGGACACCAAACTAGCAAGTTGAGCGATGCTTGAGGGAGAATATCCATAGTTATATTCCGGGTCCCAGTCTTGATCAAATTCTTCCTCTTCTGACATTCTCACTTCTAACTGAAATTGTAGTTCTCTCAGTTCCCTTTTGACCCGGCGCACATCCCCCTCTGATTCTCTCAAAGCTGTTTTAGTCTTGTTTAAATCCACTTCCAGCAGTGCAATCTGTTTTGTGAGATTATCAATGGTGAGTTCTTCTTTCCGTGTCTTCTTGTGTCTTGCAACCAAATCTTTTATAATTTCACACTCCTCGTGATGGTCAGGTAACTCGAACCGTTTCACGCTTTTCCCACACGCGCCACACTCAATCAATGCGAACTCGCACACTTGTAAATGGGCTGATAGTTTTTCCAGTTTTAAAACCATTTTACAGCCGTGTTCATCATTATCACAGTGTACCGCCAAACCCTCTACGACTCCTCTCAACGCCAACACGGGAATAACATCGTAAGGTGAAATATCTGAGCGGCAGGAAGGACACGAATTCGTGTTGGGTCTGCTTAGCCATATATGCAAGCATTCATCGCAGAACGAGTGTCCACAAGGTGTTATAACCGCTTCTTGTAAAACACCAGCGCAGATACTACAGAGTAGATTTTGATCCACGTGGTTCACAAATTTGTTTAAGCCGTAACCCATGTCAAATAACTGACTTGTGTTTACCTTATCCGCCGGGAGATTTCAAAATTGCAATTGCTTCAGTTTTCTAGATGTTGACGTTAAGAGTGAGCGGCGCTACCGTTGAGTTATTGCGTGTTCATCAGCTGAGAAAATATTGTTTTGTTAAAGTTGTACACGTCATTTGTCATCAACAACAAAAGATGTCGGATTTGCATAACGAAACACGAGCGCGCGTGGTTTGATCATATTTCTTTTGTGCGCAAGCAAGCATAAATTTCAACCAATAAAAGAAGATTTGGAAAAGTGTAGTTACAATCAATACATTTTACGATCAAATTTGTCAATCGAATTTTTAATGTTTCCTTCATGAAATCTGCTATTTTTTGCAGGTGATTAAGATCTCGTTTTTTTTTTCCAATGTTTCCCTAATAATAGACCTGCTGCTTTTGTTTCGTAAACCCCCTACAGAAAAATATTATGATATTGATACCTAATGACAAATATCCAAATCAAAGGAGGCAGGATGTTGTAAATTTGGATTTCTCAGAATACATTTTTTGACTTGGTGTTTTATTAATAAAAGTGAATATCTCATCCAAAGACCTGACAATCGAGTCTTTCAATTTCCAATTTGCATCGGAGCCAGTTTATGCAAATTTTGGAATCAACCTGTTGAATCATTGTTTCTTAAAAGACAACTATAAGCCTCAGTCATCTCTTGATCATATTTTTAAATTTCTACCAAAATTACGTATGGAACTCGAGGTAAAACAGGTAAAATAGGTATTGTAAGCTGTTTTATAAGATCCTAGTCCTTCAGCTTTAAATCAAAACTACCTGAACAGCGTTCACTTTTCTCCTGAATGACTTCAAATAATGACACATCCTCGTTCCCATGGTCCGTCTTTTTCTCAACCCCAAGGGTGGAAACGAGGCTGGAAGGGCATTTTCGTTACCAACCTCTCTCCACCCTAATCGTTACACTTGCTGTACGTCTTTCCTGGCCTTTCTAAAAAGGCACCTCAGTCTATCTGGCCGAATGGTGTGCCTCTCTTTGACTCGTGTGCTTTGATATAATCAGTTTCATAACTGAAGAAATTAATATTAATGCATCTACAACCGAAGAGGGCGGCGGTTATTTCAACCTATTTCGTAAATCACTGGCAGCAGCGACGGTGGACATTTGTAAACATAGTGTGAAAAAGAAATGTATGTAAAGTTTCAATACCTGTTTTTTTTTTTATATATCCCTTGAAAGTTACTGAGCTGTGCCCTGTTCGTTTTGTTTTTTCTTTTGACTGGATGCAAATCATATTTCGAGGACGGCATTTATTTGAAATTTTTTTTCCTTCTACTGGTCTTTTAAAATTAAATAAATATAGCTGGTTCCAGCTCTAGCCGTCAATCGAGGGTTTCAGATCACTTTGGTTAACCGTGAAAAAAATGGAGTATTTGAACTCCTGTAAACACTACTAAAATTCAATCCATGCTATGTTTTCAGTCTTTCAACTGTGGGTGTTAGCACATGAGGGACTAAGTTATATAAATGCCTACGGAATTCAGAAATTGCATTTCGTCACCCAGAAAGCAAAACAGATTAAACTCATTATCAGTTTTATTTGTCGATGTATTTTTAAGCTTACATTTAAGTTCTCTGCTCTCTAAGGGTTGTCTGTCATGACACCCTCAACCTTAGATATATTTCAGGCAAAATAAAAAATCCTTAGTGACTCACGCGGTTAAAATAAAGACATTTGGACAATTCATTTCTTCTTTGTTCCTGTTTTGATTCCACTATACGTAAGTTTCAGCACTTGCACGAGTAGATAAGAGCAATAAAAAGTTTACCGCTTTTTCTCTTCACCCCAAGATCATGGTAAATCTAACCCTAATAACCCTTACCTCTCCCTATCGAGTACGGAAAAGGATGCCGCAGCCAACTATAATTACATTCCTATGAGTACAGCTGTGAGTAGCTCGAGGTCGGCTGCTTTTAAAGGTGTGGAAGTAAAAACATTTAGGTGACAGCTGCATGTCAAAGAAATAAGGTATAAATCACTGCTATCACGAGAATCAGTACAGAAAAATGACTTCGAAACTCCTTGCGCGCGGCTGAAACTAGATGTGGTGTTTCGTGCGCGTCTGATCCGTTGGGGTTTTCTGTAAAAGTAAAAAAGATATATGAATTAAAAACTTTTGAAGATGTGTATAAACATTTGTTACAATAGTTATCACTCCAGCCGACATGGGCGCGGCCCCCTTTCACTTCGAGACCAATGCTTTATAGCTTATCTAGGTTTTGAAATTCTTTAATTTCTTATTTAACTTGTTTGAATTTGCTTATTCTAGCGGCACTGTGGACAAAAGTGTTGATACTTCAAGAGTATGGGCGTGTCATTGAACAATAGAAAGCGGACCCTAATTTTGTGCCTACGTTCTGATTAGAATGACCGCATTTCATGCAAAAAGTCGAAAATAATGCGCAAGCACTCGGCAGTCAGTTTGTCCAAAATCTTGGCCTTGGCGTTTCTCAGCCTCGTGCATGAGAACATAAAGGGATCATTTTTGTTTTACACCATTTAATTCCAAAATTACTTGCAGAAGGATTTCTTAAATGGCTGTTAACACCTTACACGAAGTTTATTGGTTCTTTTGTAAAATTAAGAAAGATTCCAAAAGGTAACTCTGAAAGGGTTTTTACCTCTCACTAGAAGATACCGTGTACCAAAGGTCTGTCTTAAGTTGGTGTTAGACATACAGAAATACTTCCCTTCGTCGCTAAGCCGAATATCAGTTATGTGGATGGAGCCGTTCGCAATAACATGGAACCTTTTCTTGTCGAGCATTTTACTTCCCTGTCCAGTTTTAAGCCACGCAACTTTGAATGGGAATCGAGGGGTCTCTTGTGCATCACAATGAAACCAAACTGAGCCTCCTACATACACTGTTATGTTGCTTGGATTCCACTCCGTAGACTCTGAGGAAAGAAATTTAGCGATGTTTTGACTTGATCGCTCATAATCGACACATCGATATCTGGCGAACTTTCTTAGCTTACTGACACCACAACGGAGCATAATTGAGTAGTTTTCAAACATAAGACAAATACAGGAAAAACCCCTCACTTAGTATTTTGTAAATTGACAATAGTGAAACAATGAGGATGAGTAGTCATACCCTGCACTTACTATACGTTGACAAATGAGTGTAAACTGTGACGGTTTTGAAACCATTTGATGCGCTGCAGTAATACTGGGCGTTGTCCGATTCCCCCACATCAGTTATTTCAAACTTGGAGCCATAGTCTTGCATTCTATAATAATCTGGAAACTCTTCCAATCCTTTTATGCCCCACTTGATGGTTAACGGTGCTTTACTGTCGAATTCACACCTAAGCGTTAGCGTTTTCCCAATAAACGCGTGTGTAATATTCTTGGGCGAGGACTTGATTGTGAGGCTGTCAGTTTCTGAATGAAGAAGAAAGAAATAATTAAATTGAAGACCAGGTCTCAAATAGTCAGGCATAAAATATGATATTTCTTCTTAGCTCACCAGAAACACAGGTAGACCCAAGATCATAACATGACGAAATAAGATGACATAAGATGACATGTGCCCTAACATGACTTCACCTGTAATGTGAACTAATATGGCACGCGCTCAGAGGTCTTGGCCGAGTCACACAACATCACATACCGTGAGGTGTATGAAGCCGCAAGACTTAACAGAAATTCTGTGAAATACATGATGAGATGTAGTCATAGATTGACATCAGCTGACTCGAAACAGTTAAAATGAATTCACACGGAATGATATGACCTGACGTGTGGGTGGAGTAGATACAGCTTTTTTCGAAATAGCAATGACTTTCAATTTAAGTATTAATGATAAAAGTAGAAAGAATGATAACATTTGCGTTTTTGGGAAGGCATTCCGAGGTTGGTATAGCTTTTTTTAAATAGAATATTGGATGACTATGTATAATTTTTTCGTGGTGAAAAATATAAAAAAGAAATTTAAGAAAAGGCCAGCCCCAATCCGGAGTCCGTGGTTTGCTTACGCCCACTGCTGCTGGACGAATTCTTTTTTATATATATATATATATTTTTCGTCAAGGTCCTTAAAGTAGGTCAGTTTGAATGCAGAGACGCTATTTATTTTTCTACTCTTTAATGATCCATGCACCACAGCATGACATTCTTAGCACCGTCACTTACCATAAACGTTCAGCCTCAGTTCGGTCCATTTGAATTCACGAGTCTCATTACGGTAAGCGACACAATAATACCGCCCAGTATCACTCATCCGTAAATCTCGAATTCTTAGTTCCTCCGGAAACTTCGTTATAAATCGATTGCCTTCTCGTATTAGATCTTTCTTTTTATCCGCCCAGAATACTTTTGGTTTGGGAAGACCTTCAACTCTGCAACTCCAATTGAACGACCATCCCTGAACTGCCAAGACATCTCTCTGTACTTCTATTGTCACTGTACACAGAAAGCTGAATGCATTAGTGCAAACATAAAGAAAAAAAAAACTGCACATAAATCACCTGACTTAGAGGATAGAACATGGGATCAAGTATTAGCTGGTCTAAGTAGCAAGCTCCTTTGTTTGAGAGGAGACGGAGAGATAATGAGAAGTGCTTGGAAGTATCTGGCCAACCTCTCCATTCCCTATCACTGTGATCAGGTCAGATTACAGAACTCACTAATCTCTCTCCCTCTCTCTCCCTTCCCCTCCGATCAATCTCTCTCTCTCTCTCTCCGATCACTTTCGCGTCGCCGCCGCCTTCATTTTCAGCAAGGTAAACTTACTTGGGGTTTGAACGTGAATTGTCCTCTCTGAAGACCCCAGGATATTCATGGCCACACACTTGTAGACAGCTGGTATGAATTTTCTTATTACCATAGTCCCGTTGTCAAAGACGGAGAAATTTGTTTTGTCGTTTGGCACAGCAATTTGCGACTCATTGGGCCCTCCACTGAAGTACCATTTTACTCGTGGATATGGTACTCCCTCTCCTATGCAAGTCAAAAAAATATTCTGCTTCCACAGCATAAATTGCATTACTTCCGGTGGATAACCAGTGATTTCCGGTTTTTTTCCTACTATTAAAGAAGAAAAGGACAAATTGTGGTTTCACGCACCGTAAATTAGGTATTCAGTGTTGTCAGCATGGAACTCTCTTATGTTTTTATGAATTAACCTGTCCAAGCCCCAGCATCATGTGCTCAAGCAAAGTTGCACTCAAAAGGGAGGTTACAAACGCTCATGTACCTGCACGTAAAGGGGAATCCTTGTTTACAATATTTGCCTCATTAGCATAAGCAATTCAGTTTCTGATAGGGCAACAAATATATCAGTTCTGAATATTTAACGGTCATAGTACGATTAACTCGGCCAATGAATACGAGCCTGATGCATTGAATACTTTTTGTGCAACACGGGTTTAAAAACTAAAAATTCTACATAGAATGTATGAGCTCATTAGCGCTTTTGCCACCCAGAAATTTTGCAGTTTTTGATGGACTATTTCTCTTTGAATATTACACCCAAAGAGCTAAAAATTTCACCATGTACTAAGGTTTTCTAGCTCTTTAGCTGCCTGAAGTCAATTTGTATCTAACATGCTTCCTTCTTTACGCAAAGCCGTATGCAAATGAGCAAAAATGTAAACAATAACGTCAGCATGAATCTGCCTATAGAACAATAATTAAACGCATATCTACAGTGGTATGATGTAGGCACAGTCAGTTTATACTATTTTAAGAATGTCGAAGAACGCACGTGCTAGTCGCGCTTCACTGCAGTTTCCGGGAGCCACCTGAAATTGATTTAATTCAACTGTCCCCTTCTGCTTATTAGCATCCCTTGGCCTCTCATTGGCGGTTAATAGCTTGTCAATTTTTATAGTTCCCTCTTATATCTGTTGGCGACGACTGATGACCCTCTGTTCCCCCTAAAACCTTGTGATCCCCCCCAATCCTCCACCCTCCCTTCCCAGGTGAATAAATAATGACTGATCCACTTCCACTCATAAAAGTTGTGGTTCGTACCCCAGAGCTTGAGTTCCTTTGATGTCACTGCCGCCATCCCGTCCACTGTAACATTGCAAGCGTATTTGCCACTATCAGCAAACTTTACTTTTTTGAGCATCAATTTTTTCCCGTCCGAAGATATCATCTGCTTGGAATTTGGTGTGACTGTGGCACCGTTCTTGACCCATGTTATAGTCTTTATCCTAGAAGTACTAGAACTTTCACAGAGTAATGTGAGATCTGTTCCTTCGGGATAAATTCCTGTCACATGTCCTCCAAGCTTTACTGAGTGCGAAGATCGGTGCGGAGGTAATGATATTTTTTGTGGCTGTGACTCTTCGAGAAAGAATACTGGGAAAGAAAATAGGAAAAAAAAGAATGCGATATTTATAATAATGTCGTCGATGATGAAACAAAGAAAAAGTGCAAATGAAATCGCGACCGACTGGATCACTGAGATGTTTCGAACTTTGAGAGCGATTTTCCCCTCAGATAGTTTTAAACTAAAAACTATTTATCAAAGGCATATCCAGGATTATTTAGTTTATTGGTATTGTGATCCTCGCCACGTACCTGTCCTCTAGCACTGAGATGCTGGGGCTACCCAGCTGTCATTTTGCCATATTTCAAAACGGGATTTGACTTAAATTCTGCAATAAATCTACTTTTGTGGCAAGATTTTCGCGCAGCCCCATATATAATTTCATTATGCTCACAATTCTTGGAAAAAGAAAACAATGGAAAAAACCTTAAATTGCCTTTGGAACTATAGCTTTGTTTTTGAATAGTCTAGGATTATACACGAATCTTCTCAATTTGGTCATTCTTGTGAAAATGAAATAGCTGATTCTGCCTCTTCAGGCTTTTTTACGTGTTTCCACGACATAATTCTTTCACTTTGTTAACAATGTTTTCATCGGTGACCAATACAATGTTCATGGATATTTTTTCGTGAGGGATAAATAAAAGTAATTGTGGTTTTATTGGATTGGAAGTACTTGTGTTGCAATTCGCATATCACTGTCAAATCTAATTTGTAAACCTTAGGTTCTTAAACGCACGTAATATTACTCGTGTTAACGATTCATTGGTACAGATGCCAGGTGAACAACATTCTGCATATGACTCATCCTTCTCTAAACAGCATTTGGTTTCCGCGAAATATTTTACTCCAAAAATTTCTCCCTAGAGCATATTTTAAGCTGATCTCAGTCATGTGCTTCGTTCAACCATAAGCCAAACCATTTTATTTTAAGATTCCCGCTTCCGACCTTCATGGCCCCAAAAGTGGACTTATTTATGACGAAATCTAGGAAACTTTTTAATATCTCATTAACGTAGTACAAAGGAAAATTGTTCAATCATTCCCCTGAGGCTTCTTGGATTTTTTTACCGTGCTTTGTTATCTGACGCAAACTTGTTCGCTTCGTGTATTCAAAACGTCACGGAATGAAAATGTTTGAAGTTTTCTGGGAAACTCGTGTTGCTACTAAAAAAACCTGCGTGCCAACAAAATATTTTGTCCAAACAAAACCTCGAGTTCTTATCGCAAAATAGGGCGATGTTAATGTGCATGACCTGAAAAGTGTGCTAAAACCGGCCTTAAACCGGGCAATGTATCGATCATGTCTCTTCTGTATCCCAAAACTGTTTCCAAAATTATTGACAAAAGATTCCTTCTCTTTTGAAAGTATTTTGATCTTCAGCTTTATTGTGTTAAGTTTTACTGAGTACTATTCAAGGAGCGCCCGTTGTTTTTGTGAATTTTTTGTTTCTGTGTTTCTTACAACAAGCGGGTACTTACCCAACAGAATGAGCCAACGGTACAGAGAACTGTCTGAACTTTTCGTCTGCCACAGAAACGGACCCATCATTTTCCAAACGCCATTATGCTTCACAAAATATACTGGAAACTCAATGAATGTCTTAGTGCTTCCCGCTAAATGTTTCTGATCGAAAAATTCTGTTTGACCTTACCGTTTTTTTGTTACATACGCTTCCAAATTGAAATTAGATCATATTGGTCTTTTAGGCTATCCATTGAAATGAAATCGAATTGCTAAGGAGCTTACCTCAGTAAGAAGGAACCCAGCTGAGGTTTTTAAGCGATAAAACCAGAAGAAGCATAGTAAAGCAGCCAATAAAAACACGAAAGATTTTAGAGTTTATAATGCATAATGTAATCTCGTTTGTATAAAATTTCCTTTTCACCCGGCAAATTTCAGTAATTGTACAGCTTATTGAACGCAGATGTTTCAAAGCAAGAGCATGAGATCAAGCCAAGCATCTCATTAGTAACTCTCCTTAAGCTGATTGTCTGCCATACAATTCTTATGACGTTCGTTGTGAGAATTTGGTATTTGATCCACTGTTATTCGCGTGGTTGATATTTTTCTTTATTCTCATCAATTATTTGCTTGATATTATTTCGATATAGTTCGGAGAATTTCTGTCCTAGTCACTTAAAGGAGGTCAAGCATCCTGTCTTCTTCTAGAATCAGAAATTTTTTAAAATGTGCGTGACTGCTGTATCTCATTTGAGATAATAGGCTCTCTTTTAATAGTTACGAGTCAGTTATCTGTAGGAAAGTAAATGATCAATTGAACGTAATGCTCATATTTCGGAAACTTATTAATAATAAGACGCTATGGAAGATTTATAAAGCTTTTATTTTTCCGTATTTTTACTACCGTTCTTCTCTTTGGCATCTCTGTGGTACGCGCAATGCCGACAAAGTAGATAATCTAAATGAGCGCATTCTTAGGTTTATACTACAGGACTACAGCTCTCCATATGACATTTTACTAACTCTGCTCATTAGACGCCTCCAGAACTTCATGATCACGTTATATAAGAGTCTGTTCTTTACGAATTATCGAGGTCATTTAAAAGATATGTTCATCGTAAGGTCTTCATCCTACAACTTGCGCGGAAATCATATCCTGGCCCTTCCCAACCCAAAAACAGCAACTTACGATCTGCACTCTTTTTCATACTTAGCTAGCAAAATAAGGAACTCTCTCCCAGACACTTACAAAAAATTAAATTTTCTAAAGTTCAAGCGGGAAATCCTCAGATATCTTTTCCATTTATTTATTTATTATTTATTTAATGATTCGCCCGAGGGCAGGTGATAATATATTAGGACTCTAGGTCCCCTGTAAAATAATAACACCCAGACCCAACCCCGAATATGAAAGAGAAAAGTGCAAAACCAATCCCAACCCAAAGTGCCCATTAAAATTTTTTTCTTTTACATAAGAAAAGAGAAAAAGCACTGAACAACAATTATCAACTACAAATATTCATATGATTAACTCTACGACATTTAGGACAAATTAACTTATATGAACGAATGTTGTCTCCATCAAATACTAATTTAAGCCTTTCAAAGAAGAAATACTTTAACTTATTTTTAAAAGAAGAAATGGAAGCTTGTGACTTAATATTATCGGGAATAGTAGATCCATAGTAGATCTACAAGTTATATTTCCCTCTGCATGCATAATGTTGTACATAGTTTATAAATAATATTGGAATTGTAATATAGCATATTCTATTTCATTTTAGGTTATTTTCTCGAAGATATTAGCTCTACAGCTACTCTGTGAATTTCGAGCATAAATAAAGTATATGTATGTATGTTTGTATTTGAAGAAATACAGCTGGAAATATGGTTGTTTCTTAGCTTGGTCCGCAAATAAAGAAATACGTCAAACTTTCGGCAAAAGACAAAAAATGACGCGCCTTACGCTATAAATTTTCACTTTAACATGCTCGAACCGTTCAGTGGCAAAAACACGACAAGGTTGATTTATTTCAGGTTGATTTATTTCAGGCTGGTGCAGTCCGGCCAAAGTGCCCCGAAAAGTGTTGTGATGCGCATTTGTTCATATCCACATGTTAATTTGCGCAATATAAATACTAAATTATTATTATTATGTCGATACTGCGCTGCGAAAAAAGTATCATACGAAGAATTTTAATTCCTGCTTTTCTACTAGCTCGTTGGTGTTGAAACGTGTTGCCATGGTTGCAAGAGGTCAGGGTCTCGCAAATCGGTAATTTAGGGTTGGGGAATTTTGACTTAACATATTTCATTACGAGATAGAATAAATATATATATTTCATCGTAATGAAATATACATATTTCATTACGATGGTTCTTTCGAAGAGATTTGGCCAGTTCATTTAATTGCTGAAAAGGAGCAAATAATGAGTTTGATCCACCTCTTAAAGCAGCCAAGCTCTCGTAGTTTGTCAGTATGATTTGAAATCCTTGTTTGTCTACAATATATCGAACCATTCTTCTTGTACCATTCCGCTTTATCTTTTAGGTATTTTGTGTGTGGGTGTGTGTGTGTGTGTGTGCGTGCGTGTGTGTCTGCGTGTGTTTACCCAGTCACTTTCGTGTAATTTGCGACAATATTTAAACAACCGAAACATCTCGAAATATCGTGAAGTAAACCATTCGAGCTTCATGACCTTTATGTCTTACATCCCTTTCAATGTGTACCACAATTAGCCGCTGATTAAGCCGCGGGAAATTTTGTGTAATTAAATTTTTAAGTCTTTTAAGAGGTGGAGCACTCAACAAAAGCCGCGAATGGTGCGAGCTGTGATTTGTACGTTCACGGATCTAATTTTAGTAGTGGTATTGCCTGATCTCTGACCATTTAACATGCAAATAAACTATTTGCCGTATTATCCTCTAGTTCACATAAAATCAGAAGAGGTTGACTTCAGGGTATTAGATTTTGATTAACCATTTTCTTCTCATCCATACCTTGAAAGCAAAGATGGAAATTGCGCTTACGCTTTTGATCAGCAAGTCAGTAGTTATTTTGAGCTCCCGCTGTCCTTTGAATTCTAAGTCATAAAGATTATCAACCTTAAAATTTAAATGCCATTCCGCAAGATCCGAGACTATAAAAGTCTTATACGAGAAATCTTATTTCAATGGCCTTCTTCACCGCAGAATTTTTTGTTTTGTTTTTCTTCGTTTGCAAAAAAGTGATGATAACAATGATGATGGTAGTGGTAATAATGTTAATGATAATAATAATCATAATGATTATAATAATAATAATAATAACATTGTTAATAATAATAATAATAATGATAAAATCGTCAGTCGTGGTAAATTTTAAGAAGTGACTTTGGGAAAACGCAATCCTTCCTTCGCCCTTACTATCTTTTGCGCTGAATATTTATTGGCGACTTTATGGAGAAGGACCTTTTCTTGGCATATTTCCACCACTGTCTTTAAGTTCAGAGTAAAGCTAATCCATACTGACAGTTTCTGCAACGTTTTTGGAGGTTCTCAAGAAGGGCTTTTCATACGCCTTTTGCGAATCGCATTTTCATGGAAAATAAGTGTGATGATGGTGACTAAGTGTGCCTAGATTTTTTCCAAATTTAGGTCCTCTGAGAACAGGCAGATATCCGTCGTCTATTTGATATGTTCGCCAGTGATAACAGTGTTATGATATTCGTCACTAGATTTCATATATGGTTTATGGACGTTTCGCCTTATTGCAAGTGGCCCCCAAGATAAAATAGGTTGCTTCGGGGGGAATCGCAAAGGAGGGGGGGAAACTTCCAGATATCTCACATACCGTTAAGGGATCATGCACGAGTTGCGCGCGCTTTAATATCAATTACCTGTTTAGTGAAATCACAAATTGTTAATTAGAAATTTAACGACTATAGGATAATCAAAGCTTGATCTGCTGTCGCTCGCTACTCGAGGTTCAAGATCATCCTCATGGAGTATGGAAAGGACTAGATTTCATATCTGCAAAAGCCTGGTAGCAACTGTTCGACGAAGTGTGTCAATCCAAGCAGTTAACAATCTTCTTGAACAGCGCAACATATTCACTGATTTTTTAAACAAGCTAGAGGTCGCAACTAATGTCAGGAGGCAAACTCTGTTCCTTGGCGGCCTCTGTTTCATCTTATTCTATCTGGCAGTTGGTTACGCTGCGAACTTTCTCTGCTATTTCCTCGGCTTCGTTTTCCCGACCTATGCATCAGTTAAGGCGATTGAGAGCAACGATCTGACGGAAGATATCAAATGGTTAACATATTGGGTAGTTTTCAGCACGGTGAATTTCTTGGAAATTTTTCTTGAGTGGATTCCGTTGTATTTCTTGCTGAAGTTCTTCCTCCTCGTTTGGTGTATGTTTCCAGGCCCATGGAGTGGAACAACCGTCATTTACAACTTCATCATCTGTCCTTTTGTAATGAGACACAGAAACAAGTTCGACACCGCTATTTCCCAAGTCGCGAGACAAGTCCGACAGGCCGCCGAAAAGGCGGCGGAAGATTACGAACCTATTGCTAGTGTCGATCTATTCTCAGAAGTTAAAAAGATCGGGGGTATTGTGGGCTTTAAAGAGCTGGAAGACGGCAGTGAAGACAATAATGTACTTGGGACGAAGGAAGATTAAAGGGGTACTTACACTAGCTTAAACCAATAAAAGTTATAGCTTGACTCCGGCTTTGAGCAGTCAACAAGTTTAACTTCAAACAATGTTACACTCACATATCCTCGCCCCTCCATGAATGTCATAAGAAGTCACTATCTCCGAGTTTGTTGATTCAATAAACTTACCTTAAACTTTCTCTTGCATAATTCCTTTGCTTCAAGAATCTATAGAGGTTTTGCACTGCAGCCATGTTGGATGGTAGGAACAATAGATTAGTTTGCCCATGGGGAAAAAATTTCTTTCTTATGCAAAATATTTTCATTGTTCCTGCCATCCAACATGGCTGCTGTGCAAAACCTCTATTGCCAATAATTTCATTTTGTGATATTTCGTTCATTGCCGAGAAAGTAATCGGAAGAGTTTTTCTTGAGGTGAGGGAGGTTGTCTATTTACTCAAAGTGTTTTATTTGATGGGAGAAGAGAAATTGAATCACTTAATAGTTAGGGCACGGGTTGGGATATATCTCATTGAGATAGAGGTCGATGTTTAGTTTTCTCAAACTTGCTGCCAGTTTGTGATTGTCATCATACGATGCCACCTTAAAGCAAATCAAAGAGCGAGTAAAATGCCATTAGTCTTTCGTGTGAAAACTGAAGCTTGAAAATGTAACCCTGAGCCACTGACCTGTTACTGCTGTTCAAATCAGATATGAAGACTTTCACCATAGTTAGTCCCCTCTACTAACTATGCTTTCACTATGCCTGTAAGCTATTATATTTACTAAAGACCGAACGGATATTAAAAATTTGATGGCACTAGCATTCTATGCAATATCTGTTGAAACGAGTCAGTATCGGACCCTCTTAAAAAAAGTATCATACTATTCATGGAGAAATAGTTTAGCAGTTTTCGCTCATGAAGGTCATCAGGAACTAAAACAAAGTACTCCTCATACACACTTGGGAGAAGCCACGAATTCTGTCATGAAAACTGGAAAAAAAAAGGCGCAATCTCCTCAGATTTTATTGTCGGAAAGTAAAACATATGGTCTGTATGTAAAAGGTTTTCTTTGCTTTTTTTTAGCGAGAATGTCACAAAAATATCAATTTCGTTCCCAGGAGTACATGTCAGGTGGACAGTCTGAGTGATGACGTATAAGAATGTCGTTAGAAGTGATTATAGTATACATAAAGCACACGACTAAGTGACGGTATTTACAACGTCTTGCGTGCCTACATTCTCCAAGGATTATGATGTACAGCGGCCATTGTGCAAAAGCATGCACGTTGTCCTACCTGGGTAAGAACGCCTGGAACATTTCGTCTATTTGTTGTGAAGGTTATTGCTCTGGTAGACAACCATGGTGGATAAACCGAAAATAATCGAACACGTTTCGAAATCTTTAGATTACACATTATTCGATGCACGATGGATCCCTTGCAGTGCAAGATTTGTAGTTCTTGGAAACTTTGCACGTGGGACAGGAGCTTTGCAAATCTACGAAGTTGCGAAGGGGGAACTAAAACTTCTGAAAAATGTTAGTGCTGGCATTTATGCTGTTGACAGCAGCTGTCTTCCGATAAAATTATGCCAGGAGCTCGCAATGGGAAGAGAAGGACTCTCCATTTGTAGCTTGTAATTATCTCCTGGTCTAACAGAGTTTTTGCCTATCCAGATCACTCTAAAGTTTTATCATGAGCTATAATGCTAAGCTGTCAAAACTTTACAGGGAGGAAGTAATTCGTTTCTCTTTTATTAATTTCTGATACAGGAGTGTACCATTAAAAGTTATATTTAGAAAAGTATTGTTTTCCAAAATGTCCTCTTTACAAAAGTAGTAGATTGTTCAATGTGGGAACTTGTTTGATTTAGATTGTAATTTTTATGCACCACGGAGACTCTTCTGGAGTAAATTTGAGGGTCATACAAATTTTTTTTTGGCAACAGGACGAGAAGAGGACAGCAATAAAATGTGGGACATTTGGAGCCTCAAGTTTACAACAGAGATATCTGGCAACTGGAGACTTTGATGGGAAAATGATGATTTGGTTTGTAATAATCACATGAAAATAGAGTTGAATCATGGAATTGACTCCTGAGTCGTAGATTTTTCTGTATGCTTTTGTCCATAAAATTAGTATACCTTGATTTTGATGACCAATTATATTATTTTTTGTTTTCTTTAAAACTGGATAGGAATCTAGAAAACACAGATAGGCCAGTTTATTCTGTGAAAGCTCATTCACAGATAGTGAATGCTATTGATGGTGTGGGAGGTCTGGGAATTGGTGAAGGAGCACCTGAAATAGTCACTGGGAGTAGGGATGGTGAGTGGTTAATAACCATCAACAGATTCGAGTAATTATAAACACAAGTGTATATTCAGCTGCACCTTTTTTCCCCTGAAATTTTTGTCACAAATTAGTGGTGTGACTTATCTCCGAGAACATCTGAAAAACATGCTGCAAATTTGCAAAAGTAAACACTATTGACTGAAAATTTCTAAGTCGATAAATGTTTTTTAGCATTTTGCAGTGATCTTTTAATTTTTTTTCTTTTATTTGCAGAAAATTTTGTGTTTGACTTTGCCTCTCTATTTCTTAAATTATTTTATGTTTTGGCAGGATCTGTTAAAGTTTGGGATCCTCGTCAGAAGGACAGGCCTGTGGCTAACATGGCACCAGCTGAAGGTGAAGAGGGACGTGACTGTTGGTGTGTGGCGTTTGGTAAGATTTTTCAAAATTCTTCAATTCTTAAGATCTGATCTTTTGATTCTCCCCTTAAGCTGCTGGTAAATTAGTCTAGATAATTTGTCTTTATGTCATGATACACTCTTCAGCTGATATGTCTAATTTACTCATCGCCTCTTTGGTGGTTTAAGCATTGAACAGTTACAACTAAGAGAACAAATTTGCATATTAATTTACTTTTCTTTCATTTTTTGTCAAAGATGAAAATTCAACCCATAACTTAAGTTGATACATACTGTAATCAGATCCATCGGGTGCTAATTCTACTGGTTTTAATTGGTTTTAGTGTATTTATGAACTAAGGATGTATTTAATTTTCACCTTTGACAGGAGATGCATACAATACAGAAGAACGTTCAGTTGTAGCAGGCTACGACAATGGAGATATAAAGATGTTTGACCTTAAAAAGATGGCTGTTCAATGGGAGACAAATGTTAAAAATGGGGTACTTATAAGTGTTAATCACAAATTATTGTTTGTTTTTGCACTACTTGGTTAACCAAGGTCACTTAGAATAGACAAGAGAGTACCTCTCTGAATTGACTTTTGTTATAATTACTTATCAATTCTATGATATATTTATAAAGTGACACATGTATGATACTGAAGGAGAAGTGTCAGTAAGCATTTTGTCTCTTCCTTTGAAAAATATATGTACTAAATATTCACAACTAACTGTTATTTGAGATTCCAAAAAGAAAGCTAACTTGTTGAAAGTTGTCTTTAAAATGTGCTCTGAGTTTGCTTTAGAATGTTGTCATTTTAAAAATAAAGGCTGATAGTTTCTAAAGAAACTGTCTGGGGCTGTGTCGGTTGGCGAATGTCATTCACTCTGACAAAGGGCTAACGCTCGAAACGTCAGCTTTTGTAATCGTTACGGTGGCCAATTTACCATTTCAACTTTGTTGATATATCCAAATAATTTTAAAAATAGCTCAGTGAGTTCCTGGCTTACCAACAGCTGCTGCTTTGGATACCTTAAACAATCATGATCTCAGCCAAGAATGGCTTTTGGTGGAGTTCCATTGTAAGTGTTGAGACTTTGTTACTTTGAATGTGAGCATCCAGGTTGCTAAACAAGATGTAGAATGTTGATGTTTGTAATTGAATTTTAGCACATATACAGACAGCTTTTAAAAGGTTGGCTTACTCTTTGAAATCTCAAATGTGGTCCACAGCATTATTTCATGAACAATTTTGTGGCGCGCCAGTTAAAAATTACATGGTTTCTTGAACACATTTCTCAGTTGAGACATCTGATTCATACCTATGATATAGATAACAATGGTAAACAACAATTAAGATAAAAGCAGTATTTTACTTGTGTCTAAGTTTTGTCATAAAAGTGTATTTTAACCTCACAAATTGTTTGTGTGGCAGGTTTGTGGAATTGAATTTGACAGAAAAGATATCATGATGAATAAGCTAGTGGCTACCACATTAGAATCAAAATTCCATGTGTTTGATGTTAGAACACAACATCCTGAAAAAGGATTTGCTTCTCTTTCTGAAAAGGTACTCCAACTAGCATTCATTTTTTTTTGGTGCAAACTTAAATGCTGTTATGTTTGAGTACAACTTTAAAGACATTTATTGAAATTTATCATCATTCAAAATGCCTAGGATTTGGTGCTGATATTTTATTATACTTTTGTAGCTTATGGCCACATTGAATGTGCAGTTATAGCATTCTCATCTCTCAATGATGTGTAGAACTAACTAAATGACTTTTACAAAAATTGTTCTGTAATTCAATTTGTAATATTTTTATCCTCTTTTGGGGCCTTTTTGTGGAGGCGCGGTGGCCTCATGGTTAGTGTGCTCGACTCCAGATTGAGTGGTCTGGGTTCGAGCCCCAGCTGGGACATTGTGTTGTGTTCTTAGGCAAGACACTTTACTCTCACAGTGCCACTCTTCACCCAGGTGTATAAATGGGTACCGGCAAGCTAATGCTGGGGGTAACCCTGCGATGGACTGGCATCCCATCCAGGGGGGAGTAGAAATACTCTTAGTCACTTCATGTTACAGAAACCAGAGTTAAGCACCGGCCTAATGGGCCACTAGGCTCGTAAACAGACTTTACCTTTACCTTTGGGGCCTTTGTGCGATTAGAGATACCTTTGATTTCTCTCTTTCCATTCATCCTTCCTCCCATTTATTGTTTTTACCCTTAATGATAATACATGTTTTTCACACAGGCTCACAAGTCCACAGTTTGGTGTGTTAGGCATCTGCCACAGAACCGTGAAATTTTCATGACATGTGGTGGATCTGGGTCCCTCAACCTCTGGAAGTAGTAAGTGGTTCAATTTGAAAACTTGCCTGGGTTCTTTTTGTAGGGAACCATTTCTATCTCCCATATGTTAAAGGGGTACCACTTTTAAAGGGAATCCAATAAAAAATTTAATTACCAAACATTGTTTTAAATGTGAAAATGAATAGCCCATTTCCGAATTACCCTTGGCCTCATTTTCAAAACAAGGCCTGGTGCTCAACCATTCTTGTGAAAATGAGTTTAATTTGCATGTGAATGAAAACTTATCATCACATGAAAGGATGAGCACCAGGACTCATTTTGAAAATGAGGCCAACGGTAATTCGGAAATGGGCTATTGCTGTGTCAAAATTGAGCATACTTATCCCAGAATTCTATACACCCTCTTTGCACAGAGCATCATTTTTTTAAAGTTTAATTATTTACTCATAAAAATGCTTCATGATCCTAGCTCCTATCCAGACCAGAGAGTGAAAAAAGATGCAAAAGACTTGGATATGGGTGTTATCGGTTCTGTGTCTATGTTGCAAAATGCAAGTCTGTCAACGCAACCAATCACATCCTTTGACTGGAGCCCAGACAAGGTCAGTTGGCATACATGTATAGTAAAGTCAATATTCGATTATAATGTTCACATAATTAGATCTAAGAATTTCCATATACACATTTATCACTGGCTGTAGAATTCCCCATAAAGTAGAATTAATTGGAATTTCTAGAGAGGATGGAGGACAGATGTTTTCTTGAGGAGGAGGGATTCAAACCGAAAACTTTTTTCAGTTGTAAAATGGAGGGTGGAGGAGGCAGAGGGAGGCAATGGGAATGAGGTTGTTTTCCAATGCCAAAAATATGTTTTCTGGAACACTACAATACAAACTTGAATTATTTTAAGTCTTTACTCTTATTTTTAATCTCATTGATGATCTTTTGACACCAGCCTTGCTCTTTTTTATTTATAGGAAGGGCTTTGTGTGTGTACTGCTCTTGATCAGAGTTTAAGAGTCATTATCGTAACTAAGCTCAAGACTGTGTGACATCAGTGCTGGCACCTACATTCTCATGAATAACTGTCACAGATTTTTATTTAAGTTCAAACCATGTCAATAGATTTTGTAGAGGTTCTTGGCTGTGGACTGACACATGTAATAAAATTACTCACAGTTTTTTTTTTAACATACTTCCATTAGATTTCTATGATCACACTGTCATGTTAAATGTTCTAGGAATGGAGGGTCAGACATTCTTATTTACCTCACTTTTTGAGTGTGATGTACAAATTTTTTGCTTTTGAAAGTTTTGTTGGTGTAAATAAAGATGTTTAATATCTCTCACAGTCTCGCACCGGAAAATATTTCTGACTTATTTAATATAAAGAACACTCAGTATAACTTATGGAACAGGGACTTCGAACTGCCAAGATTCGAAACTGTAAGATTTGGTAGGAATTCTATTAAATATATGGGACCTCATTTGGTTGAAGTTACCAAGACACCTAAAAACGATAGAAACTCTAAATTCGTTCTTGAAAGAAGAACATAAGAAAAGTCGACCTTTCAACTCTTGTTGAAATTTAAAACTTAACTAAATGACTTTATAATCTTTTTAATTATCTACTGTAAATAACTATTATCTACATATGTAAATGTATTTGACTTTTAGTTTTTTTAGTGTCCCCCATTAGCTTATAGCTTAAAAAACATAGACACTTTAATAAAGTTTTAAATTTCATTCATTCATTCATTTTTTTTCATTAGTATCAAACAAAGACAATCCTAATCACACATTTTTGCAAACTTGCAATTCTTTGAAGATTTGAATTATAATTTAATTTTCAAATTAAATTTCAATATTTAAGGTATTGAGTTTACCGTTAACACCGTAAACTTTTAAGTAAAGCTAACAGACTTTCTACAAGTCTTCCAGCGTTAAAACCCTCTTTGGATGTTGAGAGAACACACGAGGTTTGCAATAGTGGAATCCCGATTTCTCGAACCCTCGTTTTCTCGAACCTCCCGATATCTCGAACCAAACCTTGTTTCCCTTGGATTTGCTTCACTTGTAATTTCACCCTCGATTTCTCGAACCAATTTGCGTTTCCTCAGGAGGTTCGAGAAATCGGGATTCCACACTGTATGTTCTGATTTGTATGTCATGTGTCGCTAAAGCGGAAGACAGTGTAGTCTTTTCGCTCATTGAAAGACAGGACTGAAGGCCTTCAAGTGTTTTGGCGATTTATTAGGTCACGAACTATTTTTAAACAGCCCCTCTTCCCATCTCAATATAACGCAACATTTTCAGCTAATTGCGAGGAACTCGAGCGGCCAATGCGCGTAGTCCACGTAAAAAATGTGCGCCTGCTGTATATATTAAAGCAGCCATCCTTGTGACTAAACAAATCGAAAGCTGACAATGGTAAGGATGGCAAATGCTTCAGTTATGTTCCTGGTTATTTTAGCGGCTTTTTGTTTCCTTCAAGAAGGAACTGCAACAAGAGAATGGTATAAGGAGGATTTTCCGAATCCTACGATAGATGTGAAAGCTTGTGGTCGTAATGGAAAGGTTTCCTGGATCTGTGATCCAGAGAATATTCTCAGTTACCAGGCTGCCAACAAGATTGAAGAGCTGCTGTATTCAGTTGTTAAAAATACTGCTTCAGGGTGCAGCAACGATGACAAGCCTGGATTTCAAATTGGCGTTGCAGTTTTAAACCGAATGAGAGGCATTCCTGGTGAATATATTGAAGAAACAACGAAGACGTTTGCAAAACATTTACATGACAGCTGGGGAGTCGGCCACACAGGATGTAATGACGGAACAGTGTTACTGATTTCTATTTTAGATCGTCAACTATATGTGTCCACAGGAAAAAGAGCCATGGAATTGTTATCCGATGACCAGATTGATATTATCATTGAGGAAATGAAGCCATATATGAAAAAGAAACATTACGATCAAGGTGTGGAACACGCCGTTGTCCGGATGGGTGAAGTTTTCAGCGGTAAAGTCCTCGAGCGTTCAGCGAACTATGGTCTTATCATCTTCTGTGTGCTGTTGATTATTATTGTTGGTGTTGGGCTGTATATTGGGCACAAGCAAGAACAAGAACATAAAAGATGCGAAGGAAAGCTGAAAAGAATTCAAGACGAAAGAGACCGAGCAAGACAGTCTCAAAAAACTTATGAAAGCAAATCATGTCCCATTTGCTTGGAGGAATTTCAGCCGGAAACGAAAACAAGACTGTTGGCTTGTGGTCACAAGTACTGTGAGCCTTGCTTGACCAAGTGGCTTGAAGACCATGCAACCTGTCCAATCTGCCGCCAATCAGCTGACAGACGTGAAAATGAAGGTGGTGCCTGTGGTACCTATGACTTCCTCCCTGATCTTCAGTTCCGACTGATGATGCTACAGCTGCAGCACCCATCCTTTGTTACACGCACCATGGTGGACAGATGGGGCAGTGGCAGCTACACAGGGAGCTTTACCTCAGATCCCGTTTTTGTCAGGTCATCTATGGTTGGGGGAGGTAGCTTTGGCAGTGGTGCGGGGTTTGGCGGGGGTGGAAGTAATGGAGGTGGTGGAAGAGGAGGCAGCTGGTAGCATGGGCAAAGCTGTATCTGGTCAAACCTAATGGATATTTAATGAAGACATTCAAAAGCAAAGAACATATAGAGGTGACCCCAGTTTTAAATCCCAGTGTTTTTGTAGAGGGTCTCTGTACCTTTTCGTTTGTCATCTTTACTACATGAGTAAATTTTATTAACACAATGTCATAAGGTTTGCAAGTGATGATGATAATGACACTGATGTCAGTTTCTAGGCAAGTGGAACTCAGAATAAGTTTGCATGGACAATTTTTCAGTGCTCTGCAATGTATATGTAAAGCATGACTCAAATATGAGCTGTCCAATAAGTTAAGTTTGTGTCTTATGCAAGTGTCAGGGTTTGGGCTGGTTTAAGATAACCCAGGGTTAGTGTGACTTATGATTTCAGAAAAGAAAATCTGTTAAAAAATATTTTTTCCACAATTTGATTATTGGATGCTCTTAAAAGAATAGAGAAAATTTTCTTAAAAAAGGCTTAAGAACAAAGGAATGAAGAAACCTGGATTAAAATCTTATCCGGGGTTAGTGCTTACTGGTCTTTGAGCAACTGGCCCTGGTGTCAAAAATGGGTCAGGATTGGCTTTGTGCTCTTAGTGTGTAAGGGGACTACTTTGGTAAACTAAAAGGAATGTTATGTTTAATTTTGTGTTATCTTTCATTCCCATAAGAACCACAAACAGATCTGAGCTGTAATATTATATGCAGTCTTCAGAAACAATTTTATTGGCCATAAATAAATAGTGTTCAACCATCACACAGAATTATATTGAGTGGGAAATATAGATGCCCATTGTCATTAGACTCGGAAATCCTTTGGTTTGAATTTTCTAAGTCTGTTCATTCCATGTTGTGCTGGATGTTTGAACTTATGAAAATCGCAAGTTGATAATTTCTTATGACAAGAACTTTTGATTTATCAATGAAACAATTTTTCAGGTTTTGAAATGTAAAAATAGCATCTATATCAAATGAAAATACTGTGCGAAGGTTGTTGTGGCCTTTGTTTAGATGCTGAATGTTGTTTTTGAAGTTGACAAGATGGATGCAATCAACAGATTCAAGACCTGAGAAAAATAATTGCTCTTAGCAGATGTTCAGCTCAAACTGTGTCTTATACGTATTAAACCGTTTGGTTTCCCCATGACTAAGCGTTTTATACTGGTACTTATTGTTTTCAACGGCCTTCTGCGATGTACGAAGGAAAAGGCTTACGTGGTAAAGATATATTTGTGTAATAAGCGACGACATTAAGTACTTCCGGTTGTCTGGTTCCCCGTTCCAGTCGACATCAACTTTGAGACGATTTAGCGATCTTAGCGATCTTTTGAAAACCAAACTTAAGAAGAAACTCAGTGTTTTCGCCCCACATGGTTCGTTTAGGGGTCATCTGGCTTGCTTTTTAGGACGATCGACGATAATTCGGATGATCATACAGAAACCGTCCGGTTAATATTTTTTTTTCAAAGCTGTAGGCTGAAAAATACTGTACGATAGAGATTCTGATTATGGTTACACAGATAATTTCAAAACTAAGCAGAATATCATGCTGGATAAAGGCTGATAGTTTCGAAAGAAACTGTTTGGGGCTGCGTCGGTGGGGGTAACGAAATAATTTGGATATATCAACAAAGTTGAAATTGTAGATTGACCACTGTAACGATTACAAAATCTTTTCTCCGACAGTAAGGGTTTAGAACAAATTATTTCAAAATCGTCTCATATGATTTTTCAAAACTAAGTAAGACGAGGCCTTATCCAAAACGTACAACCTTGGACGTGCTCTTTTTTTCCAGAAACCGTTTTAATTACAACTTGTTATTGATGGTGTTAGTTTCAAAGTCACGCTCTTGACAATTAAAGAACTGACGAGTGGTTCTCCTTTGGCTTTCATCCGTCGGCTTCAATAAAACGAAGATCCTGAAGTTGTAAAACCCTCTGAGCTTTTGCACAGAATCAAAGAGCGACAACATATCTTCTACTTTAAACTAAAAATTCCAGCTTATTATTTTTTTTTTGGAATCGGAAAGGAACAACATATTCGCTCGAAGACTATTTTGAAAAACTTGAGCAAATTGCTATTCCGTTGTTAGAGTTTGTATTTTTTGCTTGATTTTTTTTGCTGCCGGCAAAATAGTTTCCCGATTAAGATGTTGATGTTATTCCCATTTGATTACTGATGCATTAACGAGGAATAGTCACGCGTCATTTTCTGCTTCTGATATGAGCAAAATGAAATGAAAACAAGTGTTTGTTGACAGAAACTCGAATGTCGATGACGCAACAAGATAAATGTATTCTATCTTGTATTTGTTTCGCTGACTTCACAAGAACAGAGCAAATAATTCATGATTATTAACTCTTTTAGTGACAAGAGGTTCAATGATTTACCATGTAGCAATGAATAAATCGAAGGTTTTCAAAGGCATGTTTTCCCTGTTTATGAATTCTGCAGCTTAACTTTCAAAAGTCCATAGTGGTTGTTAACTGGTTTTTTGAAAGCGGCTGAAACTTGATGCTGTCATAGCTGTCAATATGGTCAGTCATACGTGCGCAAAACACGATTGATCAAACAAGCGCAACAGAGCAGGTGAACTCCCGAATAACAGTCTATGAAAACACTTTGATCTCAAATTCAACAGAAGAAAAACAACCGCTAAGCACGTAAGGTTAAATTAAAAAATGTCTCATTTCACATTTGTTGTTAAAACTCGGAAGTATTCCTAATGTGGCTTTGCGAAAGTACCAGTAGATTTACTGAAAAATAATTCATCCATGTCTTTATTGAATGGCTGCCCAGGGAGGTTTGCGTGATAAATATAGTCACCAAAATAACGATGACTGTTGATGGGGTGTTTACGATACGTCATAACAAACACAAGCACGAACCGTAGTTACCACTAAGTGAGAATATAAAGCACGCTATCCAGTGTTCTGTTTAGATCAGTGTGAGAAACGGTGCCTGAAACCTCCATAACAAACAACACTATTGAATCTAAGCCGAAGCTGAATATAACGCACTTTCTTAGGATGGTGTCTCGAGGTAAGATTATTAATTTATAATATTTCAAAGTAAGAAGCAGCTAACTCTGGCATCACTTATATATTCCACATCACCCTTTGTAAGGCTACCTAATTTTAAATAAATTGACTAATCTCCAGAAAAAGCCATTAATTGCTTTTTTTTTTTTTGCTATCGAGCTCGAGTTCGTAAAAGACAAAGTTTTGGTTTTTGAAGTTAAACCTTAACTTATTTGAGGGTTGTTTTTACATAACATTTTCTTGGATGTAATCGTTTGTGACCCCTAAATATCGAATTTATAACGTGTTCCTAGTCTTTGAATAAAGGACTTAAGCCGAAATTTGTTCATCGATTTTTCATCACAAGTTTTCTTTAAATCAAGGACCAGTCGTCATTTATCACCTAAGGGGGGGGAGGGGTGAGAGAGATTTTTGGGGGTTCACATGGTTTTTAGGGGGAGCGAAGGGGGAGCTAAGGGATACTGAGCCGTCGTCGCCAACAGAGCACGAAGAAGGGACCATAGAAAATTGACTGCCAATTACATACCATTGAGGGAGGAGACATCTTAAGTATATTACAGAGCGTGCGGGGTGGGGGGTGGGGCAGGTAAATTTTATCGTGACAAAGTAAAAAATCTTCGAAACCATCTCCCCTCTCCCAAGGTGATAAACAATGATCGGCCCCTCACCCTTATTGGACCTTATTACTCAAGTTATCTTATCTGAAGATATCAAGAAACCATGATCCATTTTTTCTTAGGCTACAGGAAATTGAAAGAAAAGAAAATTAACAAACAAGACTGTCAAAACTCCTGCCACACAGCAAAAGATCTTATGTCTGCCTTCCATATTTTTGACGCTCAGAAGAAAGGGTACATCGAGTCACGTGAATTAAGAGAAGCACTGGGACTTACAGGTGCTGGCATACCTGATGACGAGCTGCGGCAAATGTTACAAGAAACAGGTCTTTTAGCGGACAGAAAGATAACCTTTGAAGGTAAATTTTTATGTTGAAGATTCATGTAACAGCAGCAACAACAAGTATTATCACAAGTATTATCACGTTTCTTGCTAAAAATTTTTTCTGCTGTCTCGCTTTCAGAATTTATTTACCTCATGTCTGACTCCAGCACTGGTGAAGATTCTCGATCACAAGAAACTAGGCGTGGCTCAGGACCTCCACCTTCCCCCCTCCCCCTGCTACGCTAACGGCGGAGCGTAAATGAGGAAACCTCGCGTAAAGATAAGGATAAAGAAGATGAGTTGTTCCTCATCACCGTTTACTTTGGGCGACATGCTGATGCATTCAAAGAATAGCTAATAGAGGTCTTCAGTGTTTCCTCTATCGATAGCTGAGGAATCCTTATATCGGTCTGGCACTTCGTCAACGAAAAAAACTGACTTAGATTGTACAACTGAGAACAACTAAGAGCTAGTTTGAAAACATTTTCTCCCTAAGTTCTTCACTAGCTGAAAAGAGTTGTCAAGTTTTTTAGAAATCTAATAGGTACCGCATATAATTCACACAGCAGTAAATGTGTGTGGGTTACAATACTTCTTGTAAGAATGCCGAGATAATAATAAAAAAAAAAAAAATTGAAAAAAGGGTTGGAAATAGTTTGATTGTCTGTCATTTTTGATTCATTTGTTCAAACTTGAAGGCGTAAGATAAAAGCTCAGAATACCAGAATTGATCCTCGTGTCAAAGCTCTACTAAGACGTTTTATCTTCTTTTGAGCCTTAGTAATACACAGTTTTCAACTTTTCACTCGCTTAAAACATTCCGGCCCAACCCATTCCCACCCCCTGATAGCGCGACATGAAATGGTCTGTTCCCCTTAAAATGTCGGACGAGATCTCTGTTTTCTGTGAGCCGCGAAGGAAGCTTATAGGTAAAGTAATTTCCTCGAAAGGGTAATAGTGGAGTAGAAGGTAGGGATAGCTGATGCTTGAATATATGACCTACGTAACCCTGGAATCGAGGGTTTAGCATCCGCTGATCAGTTAAAATCAAGACTTGTGTTTGTTCAGCTGAAACCGGAAGTGAATAGTATCAATTCAGCTGTCAGTGAATGTCGAGGTTCAGCATCAGTAAAAAAGTATGCGATAGATTAGCAGGAGGCAAGGTTGTTAACAGATTTTGGTACATAGGTACATTTAATTGGAAAGCGGCCAAGGTGCGCGCGATTCGATTTAATCTTACTGTCACTCAACTTGCTTGGGATCTGTAATTCAGCCGTTGTCTTTCCATGTGCCACAGAATAGTGAACACTGTCGAAAAAACTGGACTAGCTGGATTCTGCAAGGAAATATAACAAGTAAGTGCATCTCCATGAGACGCATTTTATATCTGTTATCTAATCCAGCTCTCTATACCTCGCGCGTGTGATTTACGCGCCAAAGGAACCTGTCAAACTGAAGTTTAGTTGACGGTAATTATGAATGTACGTATGTTCAATAACAATGAAGACATTGTAGTATTTTTATGTGTATTAGTAATTTCAAGCCGTGACAAAACTGTAAACAATTATTTCGAAGAATAATTTTATCTCTTCTATTCAGATGTCTGAGTGAAACAGATCCACCAAACTTGGTGGTTTTACATACACCTTTCACTTCTGGCAAGGGGTGATAAAGACTCAGTTTTAAATTATTCTAAAGTTGAATTGTCATGCCTGTGTCATTGCAGAGTACACATAACTGTAGTGGGCTCTGTTGCTTTAATATAGACTGTTAGGTTCACTTCCTTGTGACGAAAAGTCCAATTTTTTTTTTTGTTGTTGTAGTAATTGTGTCTTGGGGATAAAAGTGGATATTTTGTTTCCCAAATTTACTCATTGTTTGGATAATAATGTCGTAAACAGGATATTGTGTTGTCCAGTTCTGCCTTTGATTATACTCATAATTTACAAATCAGACTCTCTGCAAAAGGTCTGATTTTGTAGATCACTTCATGTTTGATATCAGACCTTATTAAACTCCATTCCTTCTTACCCTTTCACTGTTAGTCTTGTTACACTGTGCATTCATTCTTGGTGCTGGATTAATTACTAAAGGTAGATATTAAATTTTGTAGCATATCAGTTTACTACATTTTTATTTTAACTGTATTTCTGATGAAATCCTTCTCTCACTTAATATATTACTCCTTACACATGTTTACTATGTTTTTCTTGGTAGATGTCTGCATCTAGAAAACATGGTCCCCTTCCTCTAACTGAGATTACAGTCTACTGGCTTGTGTGGATTTCTTTGTTATCATGTGCCTTGTACAGCATTTACAAAGCTTCTGAAGGTGAACAAAGCACAGCTGCATATAGTCCTCTTGCTAAGAAGAGGATTTGTTCAGAGATGGACATGACATTTGTTTCACAGAATTTCTGTCATATTTCTGGCTGAGAATCAAGGAGATTAGCACTGACGTGTTCATGATGAACTTAAAAAATTTTGCGACATTTTTCAAGATACACAAATGATGTTGAACTTATTGGAAACTTAATGCAAATATACATCACTACAGAAAATACTCAGTATGACCCCTTCGTAATTTTAGGGGGAAGGATGATTTTAAACCAACACTACTGAAAGGCAGTTGATTGAGCAAAACTAAAATTTTCTCAGGAATTTTGAGTACTTCAGATGGCCTTCTTTGTCACTATACTTGTTGATGTATTAGTTTACATCTTGACCAATAACAGACCAATGTGTTGACTGTAGTCAACCAATACTTGGTTGGTAGTGGACCAATGGTCCACTGATATTTGGCCAACACTAGTACACATCTCAACATAGACATCAAGTTGAGCATCTGTCAGCTACTGGCTAGCTGACCTGAGCTACTGATAAGAAGTATTCTTCATGTGGTAACAGTTTTCAACTTTTCCAATTTTTTATCTTAGTTATGTTTTAAAGCAAAAGAATGATATCTATCAGAAAATTTCTTATTAGTCTTGGTTTCATGTGCTAAAATCCTTAAAAGGATGGGCCAATAGTGGTCTTTCTTTAGCTAGTCACCATTTGTTTGTTTGTTTGTTTTTTTTTTGTTAAGTAACTATCTTACAACCACCTCCCAGTCAGCTCAATTGGTTAGAGCACCAGATTGTGTTGTGCGGGAGGTTGAGGGTTTGAGCCCCGGCTGGACCAATACTCATGGTCTTAAAATAATTGAGAAGAATTTGCTACCTTTCTATAACATCAAGAAATGGTTTAGCTATTCTAGTCTTCTCGGATAAGGACGAATAAACCGTAGGCCCCGTCTCCTGCAGGGTTAGGGGTAGGAGACGTTAATTTCCCACACACGAGATTACTGTGTGGTGGATGTCCTACCCTGGGGTGGGATGGGTGGGTGTTATGCAATGAGCTTCTCTACAACCATCTCAGCTTTGCTATGTCATCAATCAACAGAGTACCTCGCCAAGGGACACTGCCCATGTGCCAAGCAGTGTTGTCATTATAGGTGCAGCCCCACAGTTAAAACTGTGGACATACCCGTGTTTGGGCCATAGGCATATATATATCTTACAATTCAATGGCTTAAAAAAATGAGAAACTCCATAAACTCTGAATGGCATATTAATAAAATTTTCTCTTAAATCTTTACAGACTACAAAGATGAGATTTATGCAGATGACCTACAAGAGGGGTGGAAATTTATTGGAAGGAAAAAGGTTGGGCATCCCAGCTGATGATTCATGGTTTGGTCATCCAGCAGGCACAGTCCATTATGTGAATTAAGTTATCACTGACTAAAATAAATAAAATACATGAACCTCTTTTCCCTGTGTTGATTAAACAATTGTTGAATTTTTGTCACTGATAAAATTCTGATGTGTGCAGCAGATTAGGCCGAGAAATCGAGACCTCCCTTTGTCTTGCTGTCCATACATCATCTAGCAAACACATAATGGACATAGACAACTTATGGCGTGGAGGTTGTTATAGTGATGTAACCCCAAATTCTCTTAACAAACTTACAAGAAAATGTGTAGCAGCTGGAAGGAGGAATTACAAAGTACATCTTGTGAGTTAAAGGACTGAGTAGTTTGTGTCTTTTCTTTCTATGCTCCCTCTAATTTTTTAGGGAATGTTGTATGATATGCTAATTTTTTTGTTTGCTTGTTTGTTTAATTTACAGGATGTGACTGATTTTGAGTGGGAATTTTGGATAAGCGCAGTAAAATCCTTGATGCCTGCCATGTTAGTTCACATGTTTGGTGGACTCTTTTTCTCAAGATTTATTCCCCAGGTGATATGCTAAAGAGCTCTTTTTCTTTTTTTTGATCTACTCAATCTTGTGGAAATAATAATTCAGATGTAATGAAATAATTCACCGTCAGAGTTTCCGTTACCAGAAAACGCAAATTTTGGTGATTTCATGTTGTTGTTTGGCAGAGCACAGCTAAGACATGTACAAAGTTTTAAAGTGTGTCCTTGTTGCAGTTTCTGAGACGTAGTTTGCTTAAAGTCCCTACAACCTCCCCATTGACAACAGCCACTTCCCTCTATCCCTTAAGGGGGTGTGGGAGAGGTTGTAATATCTATAGAATATACTAATGTGCTTACCTTATTACCTTTTTAGCTCAAACCGCTGTATTGCCTTTCCTTTACCTTATCATTTCTACTTTATATCGCCGGCCTCAAACCAGTTTTGTTCATGGTTGGACATTGCCTGCTTGTTTACACCTCTTGTATCATTTTCAAGTCGATGATTGCCATGTGGCTGTGCTCTGTTGGTATTGTGCTCTCTCTACAGATACACTCACTCAGAATGTGGCAGGTGAGAAACTTCGGATCAAGGTCAGTATCTGAGCAAATTGCACCTACTCCTCCCTTAACATTAACTTTACTTGTTATCAGTTGACTGTTATTGGATTAGGGAGGGTATATGTGTAGTTGCTGAGATACCAACATTCTTCCAAAACTTCAAATGTTTGTGTCAAATTGTTGTTGTTTTTGTTGATCTGGTTGGTGTTGATGGTGTCAGAGCTGCTCAAAAACACTTTGTTTTTTGGTTCTCTTTTTTTAGCCCATGTTCTCTCAAATAATTACAATTAGCCTTTCGAAAGATGACTACTTTAAATAGTTTGAAGATGAGTTGTCATGGAAACGGAGAATTCTGACTTCCTGTCGGGAGAGGATCCTGAAACTTTTGAGATCATTTACGAAATAAGCCACGTTTCAGGTTCGTACTCAAGAGTTCTGCTCTGCCTCTAAAATACAGAATACTCCTTGATGAATCAGGTTATGTGCAGTATAGTTTGCAGAACAGAAGGGACTGTTTTTGCCGTTTTTCAACTGATCAAACGGTGGTAAGCGCGAAGCGAACGCGAAGTGCAATTCCCGAGTGTGTCCCTCGTGACAGACGTCTTTGCCAATGACAGGAACCCGCCATTTTTTTTTTTGTTTTTTCTTGTTTTAAAATTCCTTCCACATCTTGGTTTCTCCAGATTAATCCTTTGAGTCCTGTCGGAGAGATCAAGAATTTTACATTGTTTGTATGCATGATGGGAAACCTCCGATGCATAAGCTTTGGAATGGAATACTGCTGGCGATCACGTGAGATGGAAAAAGACAAACCCCTAAAGCAGTACTCGCTTCTAGACCTACTGGTGTATAACTTTTATCTACCGTTATTTGCCAATGGTCCTGTTGTCAACTTCGACACTTTTCAGAGGACGGTAAGTGATTTTCGTGAGTTGCGATACAATTCCTTCGTTTATGCATTGATCACCAGCACAGCGCTCCTGCTTAGAGGTGAGTCTCCGGTTTAAATCACCGGCCCGTTGTCCCCAGAATCCCTGCCTCCCCGGAATCTCCTCATATATTTCATGCGCCATTTCAGGCCGCGGGCAAACTTGCGCAGTTGGCTAACCTAAAGCTTAGTATGACTTGCTGAGCTATGGCACTCTTTGCACTCTAAGGTTTTTTACTTTATCCTGTAAACTACGTTTTTACTCTTAGAGTGTTCTTCAGTCAGGCGTCGTAAAACCATAACAGTCCTGTGATTTTATGTGTATTACGTGTTCTATGTGTTTAACTGCAAGTAGTCCAGTTTGACATCTCTGCGCAGTTTATTTACATTCGGTTGTATTTTTCTAAGATGAATTCTCGTATTCTTTAGTTTTATCAACCGTACAGGCCGTTTACAAGAGAAGAAGTAAAGTCCCTTCTCAGGGACACAGCACGTACGCTATGGTGGTACTTTTTCCTAGAGTGCTACTTACACTTTATTTACTCGACGGCTTTCACTCAAGACCCTCGCTTGTTTAGTGCCTTGAACAATTGGGCCCTGTGTGGGATCATGTACTCTCAGCTACACATCTTTCTTGTTAAGTACAAGGTGTTCTACCGCTGTACAACCTTACTGGCGGAGGTCGATAAGATCGAAGTTCCTTTACTTCCGAGATGTGTCACCACACTTTACCTCTTTACTGACATGTGGAAGTAAGTAGATTTGCGTCTTTCTACCAATTCGTTCAGAAGACTGGTAATTTAAATACTTTTGAGTTTGGAGGCCTCACAGGACAGCAGGCAGGAGTACCGCAGGGATGAGTACTGCAGGCAGGAGTACTGCAGGGATGAGTACTGCAGGCAGGAGTACTACAGGGATGAGTACTGCAGGCAGGAGTACTGCAGGGATGAGTACTGCAGGCAGGAGTACT